TGGCTGCCTTGATATTTATCTACTTCTCTATCTGCTGGGGTGTGTGTCTGAGCACCTGCCCATTATTGCATGCTCTTGTACAAAGCTGTTTATAAATGTATCAGTTGTGGAATTACCCAGGAGCGTGGGAATGAGGGAAATTAGGAAAACGTTGAGATTTCTTTTCAGTTTAGTGCCTTATTGTGTTTCTTCCCTGCTTTTTTTGTTTGTTTGTTTTAAACCATTGCAAATATATCTCAATTTCCCTTTTATCTAACCTATTTGTATCTGATGCCACTTGAATATGCAGAGGGTTCTGAGGCTTATAAAAAATGCACAAAGGCTTCACTCATCAATCCCCTTCCTGACCATAGCCTTCAAGAATAATTTATTTATCTAGGCTAGTCTATACCAAAAATGGTTTACAAAAGAACAAGCAGAAAACCAGCCACCCTGCTTCCAGTAAAAATGCAAACAATTCTAGCATATTATCAGCATTAATATACATATAATACTATATGTGTATGATACACCCCAGGTTCCCCAAAGTAACCAGCAAATATAAAGATACAACAGTGCTTATAAATGTACAAAAATACTTATTTATACTTTTGTATGTTTTAAGTTTTTAATTTTTCTTGACTTTATTCTCCATCTTTTTGTAAATCGTGGTGTACATCATGGTGTATAAATTTTATTTCACACACACACACACAGTGGAACCTCGGTTTTCGAGCATCTCGGAAACTGAACAATTCGGAAGCCAAATGCCGAAAACCCGGAATTGCTTCCGTTTTCAAACGCGCCTCTGAAGTTGAACAGCTTTCGAGGCGTGTTTCTCAATTTTCCCCATAGAACTTGCTGACAGCCCATTGCGCCTCGGTTGTCGGAAGTTAAACAGTCTTTCGGAATGGATTGCATTCGACAACCGAGGTTCCACTGTAAATATAATATATATAGGTACAGACCATGAGCTGTGTTATTGATAAGAATTACCAGTATATGATGATGTAAGCAGGTTAACTTGATAAAATGTTTTCTTTATTGGTATGTTGGGTGTTTTTTGTGTTTACCAACACAAGTATTTTCTAATTGATGTAATTCCAAACCTCATGAATGTGTAGAGTGCCAGAATACAGATGATTGGTGTATTGAGTCCAGATCAATAAAGCTTTGGTTTGCATTGTCTTCCTTCTACCATTTTTTTATTCAGACAAACTCTTCAAGGTAGATGATAAGATATATTAAACATAAAATCATATAAAAGTTACATTTAAAAAACCCAAAATACCTCCTAAGAACTAATCAGTAGAAACATTGCTACATTAATCAGAAACATAAAAATTAGATATTAAGGGCAACTCAAAAGCTCTCCAGAAGATGGCCATCTTAGCATGGTGTCCAGTAACCTGGGAGGGAGTTGAACTCTCCTTAAGGCTACGGCATGTAGGCTTGAATAAACATAGTTTCAGTGAAGTTTGCCAAAGTTTCTTGTGCAAGGTTACCCTTTCCATTTAATAATTTTATACAATTTTCATTACCGAAAAAGTAATGCTGGCAGTATAGGTTATCTGATTCTTTAAAAATTAATTTGATTTGTGATGTGTGTCTGTGTGTGTGCATATGTATGCACCTAGAAACAGATTAAAATTCATTCACTATAGTGACACATTTCGAGTCTGAGAATATTCAAGGCAGGCAGATGCCCCTGTCTGAATCAAAAGGCAAACATCTTGTATGCTGCATTATTTCTAAAAGAGAATGGGGAGACAGCAGTTGTGCATGGAATGAAAAGTCACTCCAGTTCAACAACGGTAACTCATAGTTAACAGTACAGTATTCAGCTATGATTGTGCAAAGTAGTGTATCTGCCGGGGGCAGGGCAGGGCAGGAAGCAGCAAATCTAGATCAGGCCATGTTTTCATTTGGAATTAAGTTATTTGAGTGTATAAACATTTAAAACTTGCCCTGCTAATTCCAATACAGTTCATTTTCCATATGTTACAGGAATGGACATACACCTATTTATGTAGATAGATAGGAATGGACATACACCTATATATATAGATAGATAGACAGACAGACAGAGATGTATAAACAGGTATTATGCTCCATTTATTTTCATGCAGACATGTTGCATTTATTTTGAATTAAAATTACTTTAAAAAAACAAAAAAAAAAGACCTAAACTGCAAGATCTCAGATCTTCGTTACTATTGTTTGTATTTGGACAATAATATAGACAAATAAAAGGTAAAGGGATGCCTGACTGTTAGGTCCAGTTGCGGACGACTCTGGGGTTGCGGCACTCATCTCGCTTTACTGGCCGAGGGAGCCAGCATACAGTTTCTGGGTCGTGGCCAGCATGAGTAAGCTGCTTCTGGCGAACCAGAGTAGTGCACAGAAATGCCATTTACCTTCCTGTCGGAGCGGTACCACCTATTTATCTACTTGCACTTTGACGTGCACTGTGGTCTAAACCACAGAGCCTAGGGCTTGCCAATCAGAAGGTCGGCGGTTCAAATCCCAGCTACGGGGTGAACTCCCGTTGCTTGGTATCTGCTCCTGCCAATATAGACAAATACACCCTCCAAATTACAGTTCTGCTAAAATCTTGGTTTCTCCGCTATTTGCTACACGCAGCACACACTTCAGCCCCTAAACCAGAAGTTGCAGTTAAGCTCTGTGTGTGAATCTAGCCATTAAGGCTGTAATCCTGTACACACATCCAGATAAATGAACTTAATGGAAATTTATTCCAAGCAAGGGATGCCTAGGGTTGTGCTACAAATCAGTGTTAATAAAAGAGATAGATCTTCCCCTCTCAGCAAACTTACAAAATAGCAGATAGTGAGCTTTAAAATTGCCAAAATAGTTGCCCTATGCAACATTCTTTACATATTTCACAGATCTGGAGTTCCCAACATGGTGCCCACAGGCACAGTGGCGTTCCAGACACCCTACTTGGTTCCCGTTGAAGTTCCTTCTTCTCCCAATGTTTAATTCGTTTTGGAATTTTACAAGTTTTTCTTCTTGGTGGTGCTGCTGCATTGGCTGGAAAACTAAGTACGGGCCTCCAGCCACCCCACCCACTTCCTTTCTTCAGAATGCCTTTTCTCAGCAAAGGCAAAGAGAGCAGGGTAGGTGGATGCTAATGCCTAACTATCCACCTGCTTGCCAATTTATTTATTTAAAAGGAAAGGAGACTCTATTGCTGCTTGGTAAGCAACGGAAGGAGTGTTTTGTCTCTTTGGTGGGAGGTGTCTGCTTGCTTTTTGATATGTGCATGCACACACATACTTGCTTGTGTAATGCCTGTTTTGCCTCTTGGGGGTGTTTTGCTTCTTTCTTTCTGTGTGGCTAGCATTTTGGGGTGGAATTTGTAATTTTCTGTGGTGGAATTTGCCTCTCTTATGCAAGGGGGGCATTGTTGGTGGCTGGATTTTGTGTTTCTGGTGTGGTTTTGAGGGAGTGTGTGGTTGAGTTATTCCTGTACATTTCTTTTGTGATGGAGTTTGTATGGTTTTTGGACTGGATCTCTTTCTCTGAGCATCATCACTTTTCCTTTTGTTTTGTTGTCCTTTGCGTAGCAAATATGTGGCTTGGGATTGGGATTCAATTCATAATTTTGTCTTGCACTTAGTTTCTTGGGAAGTTATTTGTGACAAGGCAGGTCTCCTTGGCAGCCATTTTGTGATTAGGCAGGCCCCCCCAACAGCCATTTATTGGTGGTGCCTATGACAGTTTCTCAGATTTCTAAATGTGCCCAATTCCGGAGCCAATTAATTTTGACCATATATTTATATGAGATGTACTGCAGGTAAGGCTTCCAACCTACCAGTTGGCAACCAGTTCTTTTGGCCAAATCCACACCATACATTAAAACCACTCTTATTCATGGCTCCCCTCCTCACTAAAGCATCCTGGGAAATGTAGCTTCAGGGTCTCCGAACAACTTAGTTCCCTTAACAATCTATAATTCCCAGGATTCTTGGTGATGGTAGGGAAGCCATGACTCTTAAAAATGGAATAAGTGTGCTTTAAATGTGTGGTGTGGAAGTGACTTTAGTTTAGGTATGGGAACTTGTGGCCTTCCAGATGTTGTTTGACTACAACTATCACCATCCCCGTCCATTTTACCGAATGTATTGTTTCAGCAGCGATATCATAAAAGCCAATTTTTGTAAGGATGCGAATTTAAGCCACACTTTAACTTTTCACGGTCGGAATTTGGAAAAAAAGTGAGGCTTATATTCTGGCCAATACGGTATATAACCTTTAGATGACATCTGAAGGCAGCTCTGTATGGGGAAGCCTTTTAATGTGTAATGTTTTATTATATGTTGGAAGCCGCCCAGAGTGGCTGAGTCAAACCAGTTAGATGGGCAGGGTACAAACATCAATTTATTATTATTATTATTATTATTATTATTATTAATTCTATCAGACTAGGACTGGTGAGGCTGAGAGTTCTCAGCCTAAACTACCTCACCAGATTGTTGTGAAGATAAAATGGCAGGTGGTTGAAGGGAATACCATATACTTCAGGGGTGGGTGATGTGATGCCCTTCCGCCAGTGCTGGAATACAACTCCCATCAGCTCCAGATGGTCGGGATGATGGGAGTTGTAGTCCAGCAAAATCTGAAGGGTACCACATTAGCCACCCCTGATGCACACAGCCTTGTGGAGGAAATATGGGAATCTAAAATGTGGTGACAAATTGGCTTTGCCAAATGGGCATAAAACCCCGCCTATGAATCCCAGCTGGCTCTCAAACAACAGGGGCGATAAGGTTTTTTGTAAGGGTGGGAAACAAGCAGTGAAATTTGGGGTTGGGGCGCACGCATCCTCGACAGTATGAGGAGAGAGAAGCAAAAGTGTCACCTTCTTCATAATACATGTGAGAAATCTCCAGGCCCTCCGGGTCAATCCATAAGGTGAAATATTTGGGCGGCGACGGGCGTGTGTGTGGATTTTTCTGGGTCCGTCTCCAACTCCCGCCTCCTGCCCCGTCTCCAAAGGGGGGGCGCTTCCCACATCAACAACCCGCAAGCAAGTGCCCTTCGGTGGGAGGCAGGTGGCCGCCTCTGCCGCCTGCCTGCTTGCCTCTTGGAGCCGGCCGGCCGGCGAGGCGGGCTTGCTTCTTGCTTCTCACCGCGGGCGCTCGGCGGGCGGCCAGGAGGCGGCGGTGAGAGCGGCTGGCTGGCCGGTTTCCCCCTTCCCGCCCTGCGGCAACTGGGAACGTCGAGGCGGCGGCGGCGGTTCGGCGGCCCCTTTAAGGCTGAGGCCGGCGTAACGCGATCCCGCAGTGGGCGCCTGTCGCGGCTGCCGCAGTAGCAGCAGCAGCAGCGGAGGAGGCCGTTTCCGCCGGAGAAGCCGCGCCGCGTGGGCGTGTGAGGGGCTTTTCCCCCGCCGCAGGGACCCGCCAGGAGGGATGGCAGGGCCGCCCGCCCGGCCGCGGTGAGACTTCAGGTGAGCAGCGGGGGAGGGGGAATGCTTCTCCCATCTACAAACGGGAGAAGACGTGTCTGGGCACCGGGTCGTGTGTCGGGCGCGTAGGCCCCTTGCGCGGCGTGTCCGGGGATGCCGCCTTTCTCTCGGCGCGGCTGTAGACACTGGTGCGCGGCGCGCGCTTCTGGGCGAGTGCTATAGGGCTTATTAAATGCAGAGGGGAGCCAGCGGGGCGCAGGTGAGGATGCGCGCAAGTCGCGCAGCGCCGCCGGAGAGGGAGGCGAAATGCCGTAGCAACCTTTCCGCGCACGACACACACACACAACCGCCTCGCTCCCCAGTGCGTTGTGTGGCTAAGGGAAGGAGCAGCACCTGCAATTGCTGGATCGGGGGCGCGCGGGTGAAAAGGTGAGGGAGTCTCGGGGTGGGTGGGAGGAACTGTTTCTGCAAGGAGATCCCTCTTCTTCAGGCCTCTCTTTTCTTTCCTATTCCCAGCACCATGCCTGACTTTGGTTCCCTCCCTCTCTCCTGGGGACTGAAAATGGGGCGCTGCTGGAGAAGAAACGAGAAAAGGGCAGGACCAGGAGTCTGGTTGAATTACTAAGGACAAAGATAACTGACGCATAGGATCCAGCGCTTAGGGGACAAGGCCCCTTCTGCAGCCCCAATAAAATATTTGAGGGGGCTGCCCCCCTCAAAAAAGGTGATGAACATTGCCATTCAAATGGTGGGTGGGTGCCATGTCATGTGATCAATTGTGTGTGGTGGGGCTTACTTGCCCCTCCCCCATATTTTATTAAAGTTGGCACCCCTGTAAACAAGGAGAGAGGGCCCAGATACCAACCACAAATTGAGTGTTAACTGTAGCTTAGGCTGTGCTGCTGTTTCCCTGCTTTGAAAGTGGCCTGTCCGCTTTGAAACAATGCACCAAAGATTCGGCCCAGACTTCTTACACTTTTGGACTTCAATGCTTTTAAGTACCGCACAAATTTATTTACATCAGGGGGAGACCGCTTCCTGGGCATTCCAAGTAGTAGCGGATAATGCTGATTACTTGGATCCATTCCAGCCGGATTTCTGACCTGATACGGGGACAGAAACAGCCTCGTCATAGTGGTGGATGATGCTAGGAACGGACCAGGTTTGCACTCAATGCTGTTAGTACTCCTGGATTGCTCAATAGCCTTGGATTCCATTGTCTATGGTTTCCTTCTGGAATTGGGAGCCATTTCTAGAGGGGCAAGCCCAGAAAGTAGGGCTGAGAGACACCTGCTCCACCCTGTGGCCTTTTGGGTGCTTCAGGATTCCATCTTATTTCCCATGCTTTTCAGCATCTAAATGAAGCTGTTGACTGAACTGACCCAGAGGTTTGAACTTGTTTATATCATGCCTTTCCTCTGAGGAGCTCATGGTTCTCCCCATTCACATTTTGTACTTACAGTGTAAAGTAGTTTGGGCTGAGAGTTGATGGTTGGCCTGAGGTCATTCACCTGTTCCTCACTGAATGGGGATTTGAACCTCAGCCCTCACTAGTCTTCATCCAGCACTACGACTACTACGCTACACGTTAAAAATGAGAGAAGGCACATCCTCCCACTTCCTGCTGGTGTTGCTCAAACTACTATTTACTGCTTCCCAAGTTTGTGCCAAAGGCTGCTGTGTCATCACCTGCTTGTCCCAGGGAAGCTGCGGAAGTCTTGAACAGTGTCTGGAGGTAGCATGTGATGGCTGAGGGCAAACAAGCTGGCATTTAGATAAGACAGGTGTAATGTGAGTGGAGAAATGTGATCTGGGTGAAGGTGTGTGTCACTGGTGTTGTATTGGGTTGCACTTCTTTTGAAGGGCCAGGTGCATACCTTGAGAGTGTGACAAGAGGTGTGAAGGCCATGTGATAAGAGCCTGCAACACCAATTCTGCACCAGCTGCACTGGCTCCTAATGCACTTCCAAGCTCAATTTCGAATGCTAGATGTTACCTTTTTAAAAGCCTAAACAGCTTGGGGTCAGGTTATTTAAAGGACTATCTGCAGCAGCCTTTAAGATTGGCTGTAGAGGCCCTGCTCTTGGATTTACCCGTAAGGTTTGTCAGGTTGTCAAGCTGTGTGGCTCCACAGGAACTGTTTCTGTTTCCCTCATTACCTGCTTTTAAGTACAGTGGTACCTTGGGTTACAGACGCTTCAGGTTACAGACTCCGCTAACCCAGAAATAGTACCCCAGGTTAAGAACTTTGCTTCAGGATGAGAACAGAAATCACGAGGCGGTGGCACGGCAGCAGCGGGACGCCCCATTAGCTAAATGGTACCTCAAGTTAAGAACAGTTTCAGGTTAAGAACGAACCTCCAGAACGAATTAAGTTCTTAACCCGAGGTACCACTGTACACTTTAATAATCTGGTTGTTTACACCAACTTTTTACTGAGTCATAATGCCATTGTAATTTTAATCTTTGCTGTCATTTGATTTCTGGTTTTCATGTGGTTATTACTATGCATTTTATTTTTGAATCTGTTTTATGAGTGTTATTTTGAACTGCCTCGAGAGAATGCCATAGTTCTCAAAGGCAGTATTTAAATCTTTATCTATTATGTGGTATAATTTAGTGGCGCTGTAGAATACTTAGTGTCTGGTCAGTCAAGCCACACTAGTATTATTGTAGCCTATTTACTTTTCTGTGTCAAGCCTGTTACTGAAGTGCTGCCTTCAAGTTTCAGTTTTCCAAGTGAGAAAATACTTTCTATCACTGCTGCCATAACTGAGTATTGCCTTGCTGCTTTCTATATACTAATTCCACATGGGTCTTTTGATGCTAATCTCTTACTAGTTTTATATTTGTTTGAATCAATGCGCGTGGGGGAGGGGAACCCTTCTATTTCTGTTTCTTTGTTAATATCATTCTCCTTTGCTCTTCATATGTAAAAGTCCAGTGTCTATATATGGTTATTTAGGAATAATTCCTACTGGGGCTTACTCTCAGGTAAGTATGCGCATAGGCTGCTTTAAGGTTTAAAATATATGTGAATTTCTTCAGGAATTATATTGCTTCTAATCCGCAGTGCATATGTAGTTCCCCATAATTAAGACATCTTTGGGAACCTGAAATGCTGGCAATAAGCAGGTGCTAGGAGATAATGTAAACAAAATGAATGCAATGATTGTAAGGTAAAATGTCTTTTGAATATGGACAGTTTTGGATTGGAGCTGTTGGGATGAATGCCTTTATTTAATTCCTTTGCATGAGGCATAATTATGTTTGGAGAGGAGATGATGGTGCAAAGAAATGATATTTGGGTAGTTTCCTATTTTCTTTGAAACCTGTTTGGTAGGGTACTTCCATTTGACTGGGCAGCGTGTCATGGAATTTTTTCTTGTCCTTTGAACTTTTCGCTCTTGTAATTTTATCCACAGGATATTGCTTCTCTTGATCACATTATCAGTCTGTATTGATGTCTTTAGTTTGGTCATAGCTTATTTGGTTGCCTTTTTCTTTAAAACTGTGGTATCTCGGAGGGCCTTAGCAGTTTTGGACCAGCCAGTTGCGTTCTAAGGGAGATTTGGAATTCAAGTTCTAAGGTCCATGAGTAAGACTTGTTAAATTTTTTTTTATTTCAACAAATTTCTATATTGCAGTAGCTGGGCAGTACTTCAGGGTGATTTACACAAAAAATAGTAGAAAGCAGCCCTGCCTAAAACAGGTTGTTTACCACCTACTCATTATCATTGAAAGTAGCTCAAAATAATTGTCTGATGATATGGAGTTGGAATATTAGGTATAGGTTTAACATTGCCTTTGATTTTTGTGTAACTTTTACAGCCTAATCCTACTCATATTTATTTGGAAGTAAATTTGTCCACCGCTACTAGACTCTTTTTGAAACTTAAGTGCAATCCTATACATATCTACTCAGAAGTAAGCCTCAGTAAATTCAATAGGACATGCACTCAGGTAAGTATATACTGTATAGGACTGCAGCCTAATTATTCATAGGGTTACAGTGTAACAGTTCATTCATAAGCACTCTGGAACAAAAAAAAAGGCTGCTTTTGGTAGCTAGTTAAAAATCTGTGCTTACTAGAGATTCTAAGTGTTAATAATGTTTAAAGGTATTACTGTATTCTATAGTTTAAAAATGGTATACGTCTAATGTTATTGGTGTAGTGTTGCTCGATAGGATTGGAAATAAGCATTTGTTCAAACAAACAGAACTGGTGCACAGTAAAGGTGCACAGGGCACTAACAAAATAAACTGCCTGTATAGCATCATTTTGCATTTGGGAGAAACAATTCAGAAGGGAAAAATTGTACAGAAGGCTGCTTCTGCACATATATTTCAGCTTTGGGTTTTATGGATCAACAGGAAGCCATTAGCTTAGGGAGAATATTGGTGGCATTAAGAATTTTGCTGATTATAGTTGGATAGACCATGACTTTATAGTTACTAAGTCAGCCCTTAGTTTTAAAAAAGCAGACTGGATCCACTCAGTGACAATTCATGCTAGATCTATTAATTATTTTCAGTTCAATCTTGCCATCAGGTTTGCATGGGGAATTGGCAAAATGGTAAAAACAGAGTTAGCTAAAAAGTGGTGCTCTTAGCACAGAATTGATAAGCATACGTCCCATATAAGGATCTGTGCTCCAAACTTTGTTTTATGGTTTTGAATCATATACTTTGAACACAAGCTAAACACAATCATGTGTGTTCCAGATTTTGTTTGCTTTGCCTAGCAGATTAAATCAATGCACCTTGAAAAAAACATTATCTCATTTGTCAACACTCTTTGGAAATTGTTTCTTAATAAGGTCTGTAAATTGCCCCCCAAAGAACCTCATTTGATTTCCTGCTGAAATTAGAAATTGTCTTACAGGGTTGTGATCTAGCCTCTCGGGGTTATGGCTAATTGATACAACACTGTTTTGGTAGGCTGCACAAATCATGTCTGTTAAACATATTTAATGTAAAGCATAGATACTCTTCCAAGTTATAGACTCTGTTTTTTATAGGTCTAAGCCTAGTTCTTATGAAGTGCTTTTAATCTGCATCAGGGATTTTCAAAGTATTATAGGGAACCTTGGGCTTTTCTGGAGGTTTATTAAGCTTCACCAATAAGATCAGTAATGGAGGTTCCTTCACATCACTATTGATCCTACCCTGTAATTTACAACCACTTGAGAGTGTTGGGTGTATCCTAGGATGCACTTTCGGTTCATGCAGGACAACATTTAGCTTTATGAAATGCAGTTAACACTCTGTACCTCTAGAACAAATAGGCTTAGAAACTCGGATATATAAGTTAGACACCAAATGGCACCTTAAACCTAGGTTACGGTCGCCACAACGGAATGTCTACTCACCAGGGAGTTTGACTCGCTGACCCTTGGGGTCCCTTCCAACACTACAGTTCTATGATTCTATGATCTCAACAACATCGCTTGCTCTTACAGCAATTCACTTGTCCTAGCATGCAAGGAGGAGGAAAAACACACAGTGGAAATGGAAAATGGTATTAACAATGGACTAAGGCAGAGGTTTTTTAAACCATGGTCGCCAACCTGGTATCCAGTAATTGCCGGACCTGTGCCAGTAGTAAAACGTGCCTGGCACTTGGGGAATTTCGAACACTGAGTTGAACAATGTGTCTCACTTCTTTGTCTTACTCCGTGTGCCTTGTTTCATATTCTGCAAGGAAAAATGAGTTACGAGTGTGAGGTGGTCACCAACGGCATTTGGGGAACTCCACTTGTATTTTCCTTGTTCAAACTACATGGGGACTGCAGGCTGTAGGTCTTGGTTTGTGAGCTCTGCTTCTCTCCTAGTTACTGTTCCTGGGAAAGTCTTGTGATTGGCTACTGAGCTAGAATTTTGTCTTCTGTGGCTTTGGGGTTTGTTGCCTTGAATCAGTGATGGCCAAACTTGGCCCTCCGGCTGTTTTGGGACTACAATCCCCATCATCCCTGACCACTGGTCCTGTTAGCTAGGAATGATGGGAGTTGTAGTCCCCAAACAGATGGCCATCACTGCCTTGAATTCTTCTTTTTGTGTGAGTATTTTGCTGCCGTTAATTCACATTGGTGTTGTGGGGAGACTGGACTTAGCCCTGGAGAAGGATAAGTTTCCAACTAGGGTTGCCATATTTTGAAAAGCAAAAGAGAGGATGCTATGGTGGCCATTAAAAGCAAATAAATGCAATTTGTCCCAAATTTTACCCCCGGAAAAGAGGGTGTGTTCTGGGAAAAAGAGGACACATGGCAACCCTAGTTCGGACTTACCTGGGCACTCCTCTTCAACTCCCTTCCTTTCCCTCCCTTATGCTGTCACAGTTACAACCGTGTAGCTGGCTGACTTGAAGTTATGATGGCACAATGATGACACTGCACTGTCATAACTATTACTTTTGAGTTATCCTGGTGTAGAGGAAGTAGTGAAAATGATATCCCTTGCTCAGCTGGCATAACTTGAGAGGTCAGGGCCAATCTATTTAGTGTGTATGTTGGTATTACAAAAGTTTTAAAACTATAGTTGCAATTCAAGAAAGCTGGACTGTAAGCAGGGGACAAATGTGTATGCAGCAAAAGGTGTTTTTCTTTAGGTAGAGCCCAATCACCCTGCTGGACACCTCCAGGTTTATGCATGCTTGCTTCTCTTCTACCCATGGCTATTGAGAGAGTTGTAGCTTCTGTGTTTCTTGTTGTTATTTAAATTGACATGATTGTTGCTTTGCTTATACTCCATTGACAATCCATACCTGAATTAAGGAACTCTCCCCCCCCCCTTCTTCCCTTAACAGGCTGAAGAATGATGTCTGCCTTCAGTAAACTCAATTTGGGTGTTGCTGTTAGCAGTTTTGCTATATCTCAACTTCTCTTCCACGTGCTAAGTTCTTGGATTTCTGCACGTGTAACTTCTGGTTTTAGCAGTCTTGACCAAAAGAAGAAGATCGAATGGAATTCAAGGTAAAGTTTATAAACAATGGGATACAACAATTAATAGATTTTCAAAAACTTGTAACAATTCAGTTGTGCTTCCTAGCACACTTGCCAAAAGAACATACTTCCAAAACTCAATTGATCTTAGTTCCATTTTTTTGGTACCGTAAAAATATTTGTTTTCTTTACACAAAAGCTGCTTTAGATGTTATATGTTGAAAAGTGAGATATAAATTGAAATAATAAATAAGCACTGATAAATAAATTTGAAATTAAAGTGACTTGAGTTAGAATTTAAAAATATTAATGAACCTTGGTTGCCATTTTGATGGTGTCTTTAACTTTGTTTACATAGTGTGCATATTACTGAGTTGCAGAAAGATATATGTGGTTACTTAGGGGTGCCATCTTATTTACTGGCCCTGCTTCTGTGCTTTTAAGAGCAGTCAGGTTGCATATAAACTAATGTAAGCTTTCTCTGTTACTTCAGTTCCGTACTAGAAAACTTCATCTACTGAGTGTTTACTGTTAAATGCGCAAAAATGGGCAAAGCTGAAGCAGTGTTGTCTTGTCCTAAATAAACTGATAAGAGCACAAGAAGTACTTTTTATGGAATTTAGTAGGAGACTTATAAGGAAATATTGGATGGTATCCTGTTTGCTGATTCCTTGCCTTCCATGAATTGACCACTGAGATGCAGTATACTTCTGTTCTTAATTATGAAAATATACACACCAACTGATTGTGATATGCACATCTTGTCTGTGATCCTCCTGCCCCCCACTGCAGATGTCCTTTGCATTTTGCTGCCTAAGTGATACTTTGCAGTGCTCTTGTGGGAGAAACCATTAATCTCATACAAAAATATAGCTTTATCAGTTTGCACGGCACTTTACAGAGTTCAAGAGGACAGGTCCCTGCTCTGAGGAATTTCTGTTTTAAAATTTGACACAGGGAAAACGAACTACTTATCAATTTATAAAATAGTTAGTGCTCTAAATGCATCTTTCATGTTGAAAGTATTGCAGTTGAATGTGAGATCTACTTGTGGTGTAAGGAAAAATACTACTCCATATTTCTAAGAGAATATACTTAGTGGTGCGCATCTTTCTCTGTTGGATACCAAATGGTACCAAATGAATGGATATTGGAAGACTGTTTACCAACTGCATTAAAGGAGTGGCATTATGACAGGCAAAGTTTGTGTTAGGCGTTTCTTAACTGAAGCCCCAAAGTGAGTGGAAGATAATGTTTGTTCAGTGTTTTATCTCTGAAAACACTAGCAAACAGATGTGTGGTGAACCAACAAAAGTTTCACTTTCTTTCTGTAAATTTCTCTCTCTGACCAGGGTTCTTATAGATGACGGTTCAATGCACTGAAATCTATGGCTCCATTCCAAAGATTTGCTGGACCTCTGTATTTTCAGGGCTTCTCCTTCGCTTTAGTTTTGGGGATGTGGTCACAGAGCTGCTGTTGATGCCACCAATGGCCTGAATGAAAAAGCACACATAGTTTATGTATTAGTGTTAGAGTTATGTGTCATGGTGTTGGAGTTCCTGTATGTGCTGTCATTCTTAAGTGAAGCTTAAACAGCATTAATTCAAGTTTCATATACCTGATGTGTTAAGCTGGCACAGTTATGTGCAGAGTGTATGAAGCACTTTGAACCTTGGGACGCAAATGACAGTGGCCAGAGTTGGACTTCAGTCTTTCAAATTTCAGCAGCACCCTGTGAGACCAAAATTTTGTGCCTCCCACCTCTGGTCTTCCGTTCTGCTCAATTCTCTACGGTCATAGTTGTGGCGCCCTGTGGTACTCCCTAGACTTGGTGCCCAGTATGGTAGAACCAAAGCTCTGCCCTAAATCTGCTTCTGCAATGGCCTTTTGAAAATGAATAGTACAGTAGTGCCTCAGGTTACATACGCTTCAGGTTAAGGACGCTTCAGGTTACAGACTCCGCTAACACAGAAATATTACCTCGGGTTAAGAACTTTGCTTCAGGATGAGAACAGAAATCGTGCAGCGGGGGCACAGCGGCAGTGGGAGGCCCCATTAGCTAAAGTGGTGCTTCAGGTTAAGAACAGTTTCAGATTAAGAACAGACCTCCAGAACGAATTAAGTTCTTAACTCGAGGTACCACTGCATATAATAACAAGGAACCCCCTTTTTGGTGTTATCCTACTCTTGTTTGTAGGGAGCCTGGTAGCTGAGGTCTCCCTCTCTCACTATGAAGTAAACTAAATAATGGCCTGCAATGGGTGAGTTCTTTGAAACTCATATCTGCCCAGCTTTTGGATGGCATTGCCGTATAATAATAATACAGTTTCCTACATGCAGAACAAGCACTTTGAAACATTCTAGTGTAGGTGACTCTCAACTCAAAACTATTTTCTTTGGATACTACTTTGCAATCTGTATTAATGGCAGGTGTTTCTGACGGAGGTTTAAATATTTTGAGAATTTCTAGAAGCATATAATTGTTGCAACCAACCCCCCCCCCCCAATTTTAAATCCAGTTCATTCCTAATAGGGTTGTGTTTTTTCTTTTCTTTTCAGGACGGTATCATCATTCCATGCCTTGTTGGTTGGAGTATTTTGTTTGTATATTTTATTGTACGATGAAGCTGTAAATGCTGACCATGTTTGGTAAGGCACATTCTTGCTTGTAAATCTCCTCTCCCCTTTTCCTTGCCCCACTCGACTGTTCCATTGCTCTTCACTCTGCTAGTCAAATTATTTCCAAGCTTAATTTAAAGCATAAGATATTTACCTCTACCAATTGTACAGAAGTTCTAAAGTGTTGTTTCTTATTTGTGTTGGCTATAATGTGGAGAAGAATTCTGAGGTTCTGGATTATCAGAGCTGCTTATTGAAGTTGCCTTTACAGTGATAAAATTCCTGTAAGCTTCCTCACTGATATCATCATCACCACCTTCTGCCTAAATAAATACTGTTTACCGCTATAGCCATTGTTTACCCAGGTATTTGATGGCTGAAGGATGCTGCTCCTGGCAACCATGAGACCACTGGATAAGAGAATGTTACAGTGCCTTTTTTGTGTGTTTTGCTTGTGGATGTGTTTGCTGCCCTGGGCTCCTTCGAGAGGAAGAACGGGATATAAATTTAATAAGTAAATAATAATAACATGAGATTCTACAAATAAAACATGTGGATGAGAACTCTGTGGCAGCATTAGGAATTAGACAGCCAATACTGTGCATACTTTTTCTTAATAAGGTGCTGATGCAGGTAGCTGAGGTTCAGCATGGTTTGCTGGTATAAACGCCGCATGAAATTATAGATCCCTTTTTCAGAATCTCTGTTTGAGGCCACTTTGCTTCCTAAAACGTTTTGTAAAGATGACACAAAGCATTGCACAACGAGGGTGGTCTTTCTAGAAAATGAATGTTGGTATTGAGCTTGCATTTTCACTGAAAAGCAGCACAAGAGAAATGTGGCTAGTTGCTATTGGAAGCAACTCATTGGATTGTGTGCTTTGTGTTCCCTTTACCTGCTCTTAATTCCACCTGGGGAGCACTACAATAATAATGGGTTAGATTTCTGTACAGGAGATGGGGGGAGGACTTACCAGATTTTAAATCTATTGAGTAAGAAACTGACATAAATCTACTGACATAAACTTTTTTAAATGCCTGATTATTCAGGGAGAGAACTAGTTTCCTTCGTTAGACTAGGAGTTCTTTGGATGAGCTTTGAAATAGTTTCAATCTTCAGTTGGCTGTGATTTAGCTAGCATGTTGGGGAATAAGAAGAATGTTTAAAGGCTATATTAAGTTCTTCTTTCAGCAGCATCTACTTGTCTAATGCAGTAAAAAGTGCCTGATTCTTTCCTACCACCGCTACTAAGTTTTTAATAGCAAATAAAATGTAGGATTCCACTTCAGTTGCTGAAGATCAAATTGGAGATTCTCATTAATTTTGAAGTTTCAAGTTTTTGTTGCTGGTTTTGAGGCGTACATATTTTCAGCTAATTTGTGGAGTGGGACAGTAGTTCTTGGCACTGCAGTTTGTATGCCTTATCTGCATATGTCTGCTGGGTTTCAGTTTGTTCTCATACTTTCCTTTTTTAAAAAAATAATCAAGCAACAATTGCCAGAAATCTGTGCAAACATCTTCACGAGAAAATTCAGCTACAACTTGCTGTTGGCTCGCTATCATGAGAATCAAGGTGAAATGTAATTCATGATGGGCAGAGCAATCTAAGCCCTCCCTCCTTATACCGGGCTTGGGGGAGAGAGTTGAAATGAATGGAGGTATCCCTCTGTCCAGCTTTCCCAGGTAAGCTGGTTACTGCTGGAGTAACACTAGCGTCACTTTGTGCTCACTTCCCCCTTCTCCACAATGTGTGTGTTGGGGGAAGACTGCCTGTAAGATCTATGCTGGCAGCAGCCTGTAGAAAATGAGGTGTTGTGAAAGTGATGAGGGAATGAACCATCCTGTATATTTTGGTTCCCAATCCAGGCCTATTCATTGCTCCCTGTTGTGCACAGCTCTGTACATCCCTGCTGTGGGTGTTGGATTGCAACTGAAACCTAGGATCGCTTTATTTTAAGTGAGCACATTGTTTTAAGTGGAAACAAACTTGCTTCTATTTATTAGGCCTAAATAGTTTTATACAATTTACATTGATGCAACGTTTATACACTGTATAGAACCTGGACGCATGTGGTCTATCTACGATTGGAATGCCGTTTGCACACTCCTGTTGATGTTTAGTACAGCAAGAGTTTGCTTTCCATTTTTTGATTAGTCCGCCATGGTTTGATTTTAGTTGACGTTATGACTGATGATAAACACTGAAAGAAACGCTGATGAAATTGAAATGATATTGTATGATCATGGTTTAAAATTTGTCTTCTCCCTAGAGAAGGCAGACCTAAGCTCCAAAGTCAGTTTATGAAAGATTTTCTTTTTTAATTAGGAACTCTTTCTTGCCATTTGAGAATTGGAACAATTAGAGGCAAATATAATTAAGTCTGGGAAATTGCAATTTAAATGTAGGTGAAAATTACAGGGGAATGACAAGCATGCCACAGCCACTTTTCTTCCTTTTATGTTGGCTACATTCTTCAGGTAAAAGGTTGCGATGAAGATTCACAAAACTTAGATTTATTTAAGGCTCAAATATAGGTCTTACATTAATTTGAAGCCTAATCCTCTGTCTTGTCTATCAAGTTCATATGTTGCATCACTGGGGATCATTGTGTACATGTGAGATATATCTGCAGTGGGTCTCTCCTCATAAACTCCTCATCATTCTCAATTGCTTTTGCCTGGCTAGAATGTGTCCTTGAAATGTGATAATGCCTTTTGCTTGCCAGGATGAAGGATGGAGATATTTGCAGGAGGATGTATGTCCAGCCTCAGACTTTTGTGAGGCTGGAATGTGACTCTGCATCTATTGCTCCACCCATTTTGCTCTGGCCCCTATTCCTGGCATGTAGCCCCTAGAATGGTAGCCCATTTGTTGCAGATTTGTGTTTTATTGTTTATGCAAGTGAAGATGAACTACAAAGACAGGATAAAATAGCTTTTGACTCCCTGTGTCTCATCTGTGAGACAAGCAGAAGATTGTATTGTAGTATCAAACTGTATTAACAAAAAATGTTTCAAAATTTAGGGGAAAAAACAAAAAAATCCAAATGTTTCCCCATGCAGATAAATGACTCTTGGGCTGAAAAAGCTTCTCCATCTCCATTTTCATGTATACATCTAGCCTAATCAGTGAAGGTTAGGAAGCAGAAGACAGAGGACAATCTACCATTTCCTGCGCACAGAGTCACAACCCATCCCACCCACATAAAGGGTGAAGGTGATGGCAGAAAGATTAACAAACTGGTTTGGCCATCAGTCAGTAATGGATTAGCATGTTGCTTGTCGGCCCCATAAAAACTAGCAAAGCAGCAGAAAGGAAGAGAAAAAATGTCACAGAATGCCTCTGAAAATCATTGGTATAATGAACAAGACTAGAGAGGCCCAACAGAGCTGCTACTTTACCTTTTTGTCATATGTCACGGTTAGTTAAACATTTCTTATTCCCTACACCATCCCAAATTGTGTGAGAGGGTAGAAAAGTGGGCATGAGGGCAGGCAGGGTGTTTTTCTGGGGCATGGAGGCAAATATTTCCATATGTGTTAACAAATATACATATATGTAGTTGTCATGCGCATGTTATAACTTTTGCATCCTTTGTGTCATTGTTATAGGGGTGAGCCTTCTACAGTGCAACTAAACCTTGCTATTACTTCAGGCTACCTCATTTCTGGTAAAGTATACAACGTTATTTGTAAAGTTTGTTGTAATTTGCACCATGCACAACTTAACTTTTTACAATAAAAATATTTACCAAGGTATTAGCCTTTAGGAAATCCTGTTTCTTAGAAAGCATAATTTACCTTACTTGCCTTTTGTGTTGGGGGGGGGGGAGGACATGCTAGTGGGAAATATGATTATATGCTTACCAACAATATTGTAATGTTGTAAGCTTTTAGTTCCTCTGCCAGCTTCTAATACTCTAAGGCTGAATACAGCCAGTCATTCCTCTGAAGCAACAGGAATTACCCTCCCCTCCCCCCTGCCCCACTGCAGTAACCCTGATCTGGCACCAGTAATTTGATAACTGTAGCAACGCAACGAATTGGAAGAGAAGCTAACTAAACCAGATGGCAAGCATCTTCTGGTCAGTTCAGTTTTGTTCCTCTGAAAGTTGAGACTCTCCCCCCCCCCCCCCGCCCCCATCTTAAAGGGCTGCAAAAAATGCATACGTGAATATGCATCTTTTCTTTTGGGCCCTAAAACATATGGCAAAACCAAAAATAATTTTCAAAAGTGCTTTCGGCATTGTGGGGTGGAATTTATTATTAACTGTGGATGCTGTGCAGGGGTAATGGATAGCAACATCCAAACAACCATATGGAATTTGAAACAACTTTAAAATTGGCTTGATTATTTATACCTGAGGTTCATATTAGTGAGAAGCAGCACTGTCATATGATTAGGTGCCACAATCCAGGCTTGGGGCTCCATTTCCTGATGATATGCTGGAAACTATAACCCTGATACCATGAAAAAGGGTTGCTATCTATTTTATAGCTGCCCTTTGCCAATCCTTCACTTTTCTCATTGTCAGTAGTTTGACTGGTGTGCCCTCTCTCTGGAGGTGCCACTGCAGTGGTATGTTTGGACTTGTTTTTTTTTAATAGATTGCATTAAATATAACCCCAATGGAACTGGCAAGTAGACTATTATTATTTTATTATTTTAATTGATTTATACCAATATCTACCTAGTGGCTCTGTTCATGGGTGCTTTCAGTTTTATTCTATGAAAGGAGGAAAGCTCAGCACGTTCACTAAAAATGTCAGTAGCACATGAAGCATTTTCCTCAGCATAAGATTGAAATCCCCTGTACACTTTAAATTCAAGTCCTCAGTTTCAGTGCTATGACCTCCTAAGATTTATTAAGGGAAACTACTATTGTATTAAATTTCTGCAACAAAATTATTCAACTCTCTGGTGCAGAAGTGCTAAACTTGAACAGCCTACCCGATAATTTGCATGTGTGCGTTTTGAGACAAAATGGTGAACAACATAAATGCCTTCCAAGGCTGGTCCTATCCACACATACACAAAATCTACCTGAAACAGTGGACACCTGCATTCAAGTCAGCACATAGCAGCAACAAGGGAGTCATGGGAAAGCTTTGACATGCTAAGTATTGTATAATGGCTACTCATGCAGAAAGGGTTTATATAGCGTTGCTGTGCCAGTGTGTAGTTGCTTAGGATGAGGTGCCGCATTGCTGTGTCACCATGCTATAGCCTGGCACTGGCTGGTGTGTATTGCAGACTGATACACCAAACACTGCATTTATATTTCTGCTCTCAGCTTTCACTTCAGGAATTATTACAGATTGTTTGTAGCATAGATTAGGAGAAGCATTGCCACTTGCTGAGTATTTGCATGATTTGATACCTATTTTAATTCTTCTTCCTTGCCCCCAAATGATTGTCTATTAAATGCTTTAAGATGAAATACAATGATTGCAGAAAATTACTGAGCCTTTCATTTCTTTCTCTTTTTTTTAGATTTGTTGCTTATTATTTTCTACTGGAATGCGATTGGGGATATATATTTTGTAATTCACCATTTAGTAGCTCTGTATGCTTACTACTTTGTACTGGTGAGTGCTGTATTGTTTTTGTAATAGCAGAGCAAGGAGCCATGTGGGATTCATAATTTGAACGTTATTAGTCATTTATAGAGCGCCATCCATGTTCATAGTGCTTTCTAAAGAATGAAAGGAGAGGTCCCTGCCCTAATGACAGAACAAAGGGATGGCAATGGGGGTGGAGTAAAAAGGTGAGGGATATTAAAATATTTGGGCTACACATACTTAGTTATAGGAAAGTTTGGGGTCTAGGGGATCATAGCAATGTCTTCACAGAAATATAATTTTTAACAAATTTAAAACTTGCGCATTACATAACGTCTAACTGTTCCAGCAGCCAGTGCAAATATTTGAGCAGAGTTGTAATATGCTGATGGAACCTCACTCCTGTCAGCAGTTGTGTTGCAGCTTCCTATTTTTCAGGTGGCACCAGGGACCCACTTACTTGGATTGGCTCCTCTTTGGTTCAAATGCCAGTCCAGAGAGCCTTTAGAAGAGGCATTGATGAGGTTCAGATTTGTAGTTCTACTCTGTCACTTGTGTACTTTTTTTTGTTTTTTTGACTTGTTTGTAACTAACTTAACTAATTTCCCTCATGATTCAAAACTTCTCTTCTACAGAGCACAGTCTTATTTGGGACGATGTGCTGACAGTTTTAAAAAATTATGAGCAACCGGAATGTTTGTAAGCATTACATAAGAGCTTAGCAGCAGAGCCAATGGCAAAGGAAGGCTCATCTCCATTAGCTGAAGCCAGAGCTCTTGGAAACAAGGCTACAGAGGTCTCTGATAATGCAACTTGTTTCTGTTGAGTATGTGGTTTTGTGGGTTAATGGGTAAAACTAAAATTTTGTCAGCAGATCTTAATTTCATATCTCATCTGATCTTTCTTGAACCATTTCAAGTACCCTAAAAGGTCACCAACCTGGGTTTGACCTTGCTAGAAGATATAATTCAGTTTTGAACATTATACAATTTTAACAACAGAATGCAAGGTGCATTAAGTACTTGATGTACATAGGTGGTGTGGGAACCAAACTGAGGGAGTTTAAGCACTTTTCTAAAGTGTATTCTGTTTAATTATGTACATTTAATTTGGCATTTTGTAGAAATATATACAGTATATTTCAATTTGTATATTTCATCTTGTATAATAAATCTTTTTTACTGCTTTTCTGAGACTTTCTCTCTCTCTCTCTCTATATATATATCTGATTGTGATAATGCTTATTTTATCTAGGAAAGAGGACTGTTGGCATACTTTGCTAATTTTCGTCTGCTTGCAGAAATATCTACCCCTTTTGTGAATCAGCGGTAGGTGACATTTTCTTACATTAATAAGCTGTTCTTAACTTGCCTGTTGCCAAGAGTATGTATTTCAGGGACTATACAGCAAGACCTGTTGTCAGGTCTTTGCTCCGATGCGGTTCATTCAGTAGGTAGTATTCCAGTCCATATCAAAGTATATTAGAAATGGCAGTAGTCCACTTCAAAGGGTTGTTGTGAAGGCAGGCATGTTAAAGACTGTAAAAGAAAAGAAACTTTGGGGAGGCATCCAAGTAAGTTATACTCAGAGTATGTCCATTGAAATAAATATAATTATTTAGGCTATTGGTTTTATTCAATCTTGTCTTACTAGTTTCCAAACACAAATGTTAATGGTAGGAGCCATTTTATATAATTCTAGCATTCCTAAGTTTATTTTATATTTATTCCACCTTTCCTCCCAAAGTTGCACAGGGAGGAAAACAACAAAACAGCAAAACTACACCCACAATGTTTTAAAAACATGTGAAAACATTTTAAAACAGTCCCATAACCTCACAGTTAATAATTTCAAGGTATAGTATATTTCAGCCATCAAATGCTGGGCTGAACAGGAATGTTTTTAAATTCTTCCTGAATGTTGATAATAAAGAGAGCCAGCCACAAGGACGAGCATTTCATAAATGGGAACTACTTCCAATAAGGCTCTGTCATGGCACCACCAACAGGGCCTCTGCAGCTGTTTGTAGGGCTGAAGATGGTTGATAGTGGGAGAGACACTCTTTTCCATACAGATAAATTATTTTTGTTAGCCTATCAGAGCAATGAGGAACATTTTTAAATACTGGAGTATTAACTTTCTTAATAAAATTTTGCTTTGTATCATTAAATTTTCTCCTTTTTGTAACTGGCATAAATCCTCTCAAAGCTGCAACACAAAATAATGTTAGCAATTACCAATTTTCAGCCAGTCTTCAATTCTAAGCAAGACTACTTTTAGTCACATAAACTGAGGAATCGTTACATACAAGATTGGAATTCCCTTATACAAGGATACTTGAAATCTACTCAGTAAACTGATGCAATTTTGGCACTTGTATTCATTGTCAGGTATTGCATATGTGCATCCTAATCTTTTGCAAGGTATAGCCTAATTTTTTCTCTCCTGGTGGTGCTTTTTGTTAAACTGTCACTTTGATAAATTTTGGCATACATCAAAGGTTTCAGTCAAAACCTATCACAAAACATGAGCAGCCTGAGCATTAACATGGCTGCATTTACACATTCCTGGTCAGCTGTAGTTTGGCTTACTGTGTCGATGTAAAGAGTGTATTCCACACTACCATACTTTGCTGTCACAGCATTAATTAACTAACTAGTGTTCTGTTTAATACTGTTCCTGTACAGTGGTGCCCCGCAAGACGAATGCTTCGCAAGACGGAAAACCCGCTAACCGAAAGGGTTTTCCGTTTTTGAGTTGCTTCGCAGGACAAATTTCCCTATGGGCTTGCTTCGCAAGACGAAAATGTCTTGAGATTTTTTTTTTGCTCCCCCCCCTTTTTCTAAGCCGCTAAGCCGCTAATAGCCTTTTAGCAGCTAAGCCGCTAAGCCTTTAATAGCCGCTAAACCGCTAATAGCGCTAATCCGCTAAGCCGCTAATAGGGTTGCTTCGCAAGACGAGAAAACCGCTAGACGAAGACACTCGCGGAACGGATTAATTTCGTCTTGCGAGGCACCACTGTACTTAAACAGGCAGCTTTATACATTAAAAAAAAAAAATCAAGGTTCAGCCTTACTGCTTAGAATTTGTGGGTGCCAATTCATTATATAGTATTACTCATACCTTCACCCTCATTTGCTTCTCTGGGTATTTTTAGGTACAGTACAGCAGCCCTTGTGTTTCTTTCTAAGTCTTTTAAAACCTGGTTCTTGTAGTATTCTCTGATGCTACTGTCTTCCCACAGTCTGTGGCTTAAACAGCAAACTGTGCAGTGTCTTTTCATCCTCTGGAATGAAGGGCAAATAGGCTTCCCCTTTCTGCTATGTTAGAACTGTGCCAACACATTTTTTCTGGCTTTCTCTGCCATGTCCTTAAGAGATAATGGGCTCAAATAATTTAATTGTTTCTATTAGAAGGCTGCTGAGGCTCTCTGCAGACAATTGAGGGCCCCTTCTGTCATTACCATTGCACTGTAAGGAGGAATCATGTGACAGTTACTCCCATGCCACAATGTAATGTCTGAATCCTCAAACTGTACTTGATGAACTATCACCATGGCTACTTCCCATGCTGCTCCCAGATGTGGGGGCAACACTGGTGTGGGAAGAAGCTGTGGAGCTGACATTTCTCATGTGGTGCTGATGGTGGCGTTTTGTAACTAATACAGTGCTTGAAGAAGCGAAAGCTCCCATGCAGAGAACTTAATGTCAGAAGGGGGCCTTATTATAGGCTAAACTTAAAATTTAATGCAACAGCTAACCGGATAAATACTGCACCCTGTTGGCAGTTGCTTCTTTGAAATGAGGAATTGCTATATTTATCAATATAAAAGAACCTCCAGGACTTCCACTTAAGTACAAGAACAGTCAACGAATGCACAGCCTTTTGTACGAAAAGATCTTGAAAGGAAAGTTCAGCTGTGATCTTGCTAATGTACTGAATACAAAATGCCTATCTGCCTGAGAGATTCATACTGAGACTTTGGAGATTGTGAAGCCTTATCAGTGAAAAAGGACATATTCCTCTTTTGAAGCAGTGTTCTAAAAATAAAACTAACTTGCTACTTTATTTGATAAATGTTTGCAGAAGGTGGCGAGAGAGAGTGAAGCATTTGCTATCCCATCGGCATTCATATATAGATTTATTAAATTTGAGAAGAACCAGATGGTAAATAATGTAAATTGTTGACACTAGCTCAGATATACATGTTTGTATCATTAACAAAAATGAAGTAGTCAAGTAATGCTACTCTGTCATATTTTTAACTTTTGAACTCAGTGACCTTTGCAAACAACCCAAGTATCCTTCTAAAATTGTCAACAAAAAGTTTTAAAAGCCTGATATGTCAAGCTAGTGTGTACAGTATTAACCAGATACTGTTCTGAAATTGGAAGCAACATATTTGATTAATGTGTTGGAGAATATTTCTCAGCCAAACCAAATCCAAGCTTCCTTCCTTCCTTCCTTCCTTCCTTCCTTCCTTCCTTCCTATTTGGTAGTTCTAGCTTGTGGATCATTTTGCAGGAGCCTTTGTGGTTTGAACAAATGACATGCTTATGTGCATAAAAAATAGAATCATAGGTCTTTTCCACTTGCACTTTGCGAACCCTGACCATCTGTAAGTCAGGCTTTGTTTAAATAAACTTGCGGCAAAGATCAAGAGCCTGCTAGAAACCCTGTTACCATCCTGCTTATGTTTGGGCCAATATGTAACCCTGTGGGATAGCTCAGTCAATAGAGCGTGAGACTCTTAATTTCAGGGTTGTGGGTTCAAGCCCCATGTTGAGCCAAAGATTCCTGCATTGCAGGGGGTTGGAGTTGATGACCCTCGTGGTCCCTTCCAACTCTACTATTCTATGATTCTATGTACACTGTGGAGTAGCATCTCTTGTACTCCCATGTCATGTAGCTCTCGTTAAGGAAAAATGCAAAAACTATTTGGGAGCATGGGATAGTGTAGGGAAAAGTATGCCGTTGTAAGAAAACTAGATTGGGGAGAGGTATTGGCAGAGAAATATAATCCTACTTTAACAGAGTGATGTGGAAATCAGCCAGTGGAGTATAGTAACAATGCTAACTGCTGTAACATAAGCATCTGCCCTAAATATGTTTTGTCTGCTCACATGTGGAGAGGGAGAGGCAAAGCTTTGATATTGTCTAGGATTTGGCAAGATGTGACTTTCACTTTTCCAGCACATGCCCTTTCTTGCAGGCCAAAATGGAGTAGTGCTGAACTCTTTGTACTCTGCTTCTAGAGCTTTCACGGATTTCATTTCAGTACCAAGGTTCCATTCGTTTGGATCTGCCAGGAAGATAAAGGACATTGTGTTACAATAATGAAGGAACCACTTAGATCTGGAACAGAGTATTTCACAAAATGCAGCACTGTGGGAAAAAATATCAAAGTACACTAACATTGTATCTGGTTACAATTTGGTATATATAGATATATAAAAAAAGATTCATAACATTAGCAATTCTGAATATCTTTACAGATATCTTTGCAGCTTTCTAGCTGCATGAAAGTGATGAGAAATGAAACTATGATAAAAGTCAGAAATTCAGAATGCTTGTAGAGCTGATGGAATCTTTATATCCAAATCTGAGTCTGTATTCAGAGGTTGAACTCACAAAATTTTATTTAATTTCTGTTAATATTTTTTCTCTTGCAGATGGTTCTATGAAGTACTGGGGTATTCCAAGGCATCAAAATCTAACATCATCAATGGACTACTAATGACAATCACATTTTTCCTGGGGAGGATCATAGTCATCCCAATTTATTATGCCAAGGTTGCTGCTGAGGTAGGAACAGAAGCTTTCGACAGATTAGGACTTGCAGCTCAAAGCGCCTGGTTTATCTCCAGCATTATCTTGGACATCATGAACTTAAAGTGGATGGTCAAAATCACAAAGGGATGTTACAAAGTTATTTGTCTTATTGGACATGGAGAAGCCAAAGCTAATAAGAATGGCAAATATAACTAGAAGATTTCTAATGCAACAACCATCTATAACGGGAACTCTGGGTTCTTCGAAAGAACAATGCACACTTTTGCCATAAAAAACTCCTGTTAAGGGAAAAAAGGTATTACCTCTGTTCAATGTAGCCTTCCTCTTGGCGCACTGCCTGGGCACCCAGGGCCACTTCATTTGAAGACTTGTATTACATGGAATGGGAAACAGTAACATGCTGCATATACAACCTTGGTAGTGTGTTCTAAGCACTTAATAGGCAAATGAACCTGTAAAGGAACAAACTTTTTTAGCAGTACGTTCCTATGAATTCTCACTCAGGTTTCTTAGACGATTGTGTTTTTAATGCCGGTGAATGTCAGGATCTTTGGTTTACATTCTGCTAATATGGCAACTTTCCTGGCATGTTTCTCTGCTTTCTTAATGTATGGTGTTCATAACTGAGGTTTCATCTTTTGACAACTTTTTTACATTTTTGCGAGAATTTTGCTTTGAATCTATAATCTTTTACTACGTTTTCTGCTGCCTTGTATGCATGCACATGATCTTTTCTAATTTATAGAACAGTTTTACATAAACACATACCATAGAGTTTAGGGGTTCTTTTTCTTTTAAATCAATTACTTGTATTGATTCTTTCTGTACATAAAGGAAAACTGCAGCCCCCCCCCAAGGTTTTTTGTTTTTTTTAATATATGTGAATTCTAGCACATGCTTGCATGGTAAACAGTATGGACATAAGCAAATTCTTGCACCAGTGTTCCTTATCTATCATGGCTATTGGAACCTATCTATGTTTTTAGTGTAGTGTCATTTAACAAAAGGATTTTTGTGGGGTGTGAACTACAGCACTGAAGCAGGAAAAAACTAACGAGTCTAGAACATGTGAATCTGTCACAAGAACTACTGTGCTTGTTAAGTTTAAATTGTAGCTAATGCATTCATTTTCACTGACATTCTTATCACTCTCTTTTTTCTTTAAAGCAAGTTAAAAAACATTGCTTTACTAAGTTGGAAAACCCTATTTAAAAATATATATACAGTAAATGCATTTTATTATTTTCAACTTCGGAGCAGCTCTACAAAACTGATAGGTTGATAGTTTCTCTCCAATGATAGAAACTTCTTTCTTCAAGTGGCTTAGCTCTCAACATATTTGCAAGAGCATGTTGCTGATGAATACTATGTAAAAAGGAAACACAAGAACAGATAATGGTAATCTACTTGTTTGCATTAATTTTACAAATGTTCTCTGCTATAGTGGCCTCCACGTTTATGGTGTATTCTATTCTTGTGTTGATCAACTAGTCAGTTGACAGGTCTTTGTCTGATTGTTATGAATACCATGTGTCATAATTTGCTAATAAGGTTGTGTTCATTTTCATGTTTGTGATGCAAATATGCAGGAGTATTGTAGAGAACAAGCTGTTTTCCTGTACCTTTGTTTGTCCCTTTCATGGTCCCTAAAGTGTTAGTTATTCCAATATTTATTTGTTAACAAAGCCTGGTGCAAAAGGTTATTTGTCTTACATAACAAATAATAGCCTGTGGTTACTAGTTAGTATAGGTTTTTAAAAGTGAGTTATTACAACATGCAAATCCCCCTTTTCTTAGAGTGCTTCTAACTCCTTATAGCTTGCTAAATGTTGTTGGATTCATAAGATTATAATGCCTGCTCTCAAAGGTCTTTTAAATTGCATTTTAAGTGTCATGACAATCAAGACAATTTGGATCTGTTCTTCATATTAGTGTTATAATATTTTGTATATTTAATATAAACACAGAGGCCCTGTTCAGATACTCATGTTCATCCCTTGATAACTGTAACTTAAGTGTTGACTTGCATTTGTGAAAGATCGTTGTAGACCCCATGAATAAGAGGGATAGAAATTTCCTGTCACCTCAAATGTAATGTTTGTCCATGGTGGCACTTTACACATTCAGCCTAGGCTCCAAATTTTGAGAGATCAAGTGATATCCATGCATGTGTCATTCTCTTTCCTGGAGGCTTTTTTGAGTGTCTGGATAAGAAGCCTAGAAATTTAAATCATAAATATATTCAATTTTTCCTGGTAGAAACAGAAAGTTGCTAACAAACATATTTTTATAGTTTAGACTCATCTTTTATGAAAAGACAGCTGTTAGGTGCAAGCAGTAACAATATTGGGTGCTGTTTAATCCTTCTAATTTGATTTGCCTCTTTTGATTGTAAACTGCCTTCTTTTAACACATTTGTTAACCATTACTTTGGGTTATCCCTGAAACAAAATTGAACACATTTTAACTTTCTAAATTAAAAACTTTTGAAATAGCAATCCAATATTATGTGTTAGAAGAAATCATCCACTTATGCAGAATAATGGAAGTAGCTTTGAAAGCTCTTCTTGCTTGTAGACAAACTTATCCTCAGATTGCTGGTTCAATGAAGTGTTACCCACTAAGCTTTTCAAGGAACTACACATACTCTTCTTACTCATTTCAAATGTAGCTATTAAGCAGGACCCAGCAACTTCTTAAGCCAGTTTGGTATGCTTTCCATCCCCCACCCAGCAGCCATAGCAGAGTGGTATCTCCACAGTGCTACAATCACCTGGAAATAGTGAAGGTGCTCGTCTTCATGTCCTTATCCCACATTTCTCTGGGATTGCGAAAATAACCCAGTTACAAATTGAAGCACAGTTGCTTATAGGGAAGTAGCAGGATCCTACTGAACTGCAAAGATCCATGTCCGTGAACTTGGCAGCTGGCTGACCACTGTCCCTTAACCAGACTCAGGATTTTTAAATATATCTATTCTTGCCCAATGAGTAGGCCAGCCCTAATTTGCTGTTGATTTTTCTGGGTTATAGATACAGGTAGGTAGCCGTGTTGGTCTGCCGTAGTCAAAACAAAATTTAAAAAAATCCTTCAAGTAGCACCTTAGAGACCAAGTAAGTTTGTTATTGGTATGAGCTTTCGTGTGCATGCACACTTCTTCAGATTTTTCTGGGGGTAGGGGAAGGAACTTCAGTAGTTGCCCAAACAGTGTCATGTAGCAGATTGTGCTTGCAGAAGACCACTATTTATATATATTGCAAATCACTTCAAAGAACACTTGCTTTGGGCTGGAAAAGTACCCTTCAAAATATTTTATCAATATTGTTTGCAATTACTCTGTAATAGTGAATCACAATTGTGCTTATGCATAGTTTCTTTTCCATTAAAGTTGCAATCCTGTATTTACATATACAGTAGGTTCCACTGAACTAAGTGGCCCCTGCTTCTAAGTAGACATGCCTAGAATTGCACTTTAATATATTTTGGCTGTGTTGTGCTTTACATATTTTGGAATTTAAAATAACTTAATTTTTCTGGGCAGATGTGGTATTGTGGTATCTTATCAGAAAGTACAAGATGCATAATTGGAGAGTCCTCTTAATTTCACTACTTATTTATTACAGTTATACATAAATCTTTTAAGCTGCTTTTTGATCCAGATATGCAATCATTGTGTAGTCTTATTTCTTTGTTTGGATTTATGTTTCCTTATACAGTATATGCTATAGCATGAAGGAGTTGGAAAACTGAGGCATTGAGCAGCTTCTGTCATCCATTATTGTATATAGATCACTCTATAATGCCATCTTCCTTTCCTAATGCTAAAATATGTAACTTGGATCAAATGGGTTGGATCCAGAATAAATCAGTTGCTACTGATTTAATTGAGACTGAAGTTTAACTCACTTAACCTGGATTCAACTCGATTGTGTTTTACAACACTGTCATGTACAGCTGGGAAACTTTTACACTCTCAGAAAAGGAGTGGGGAGGAGTGGGGGAGTAATACCGTAGATCAGGGCCAAATAATGATTATTGAGTTGTATTTGTCCTTCAACATTATTTATTTTTCTCCAACATTATGATAATTCTTATGGAGAAAGTTGGTTTTCCTAACTGCACATATATTTGATGTCTGCAAAAGAGAAAGATGGCATGAAGACAAAAGAGGATGGTGAAGCCAGGTTCAGTGGAAGCAAGTGCCTCCTTTATTACTTTTCCATCTACTCTAAGCCTGGTGGCTTGCATCTGTGTACTTAGGACATTCCTTTATCCTCTGAGATAACAGCCAGGAATATTCCAGCAACTCCGTATGTGTTGCTTGATGGATGGTGAGAGTGGGGGTACGGCTTTCCAAACTTAGAAAGCTGACTTTCCCTGCTGTGGGTAAAGGTAAAAAATACCCTATTGCCTCTTTTAAAATATGCTAGCATTTATAAATCACATTTTAAAGTCTAGCAACTTACTCACTCAAACATTGATGTGGCCTAATGTGTTGTAACTTAAAGGTTGTTGGTTTTTTAAGTCATTATTTCCTTGTTTAAAATATGGGTTAGAAGTTAAACCCAATTTCTTTAAGGTTATCATCTCCATTTATCTTGGGAGACATATGAGTAGAAAAGGGCATTTATACACCCTATAGCTGCTCTGAGAGAAGAATTACTAGCAGGAAGCCAAGATCACAGCACCCTCTTATGTGAGGGTCCTCCTATTAAATAAGCTTTGGATTCAAGCCCTTTTTATCTACTACAGATTCCTTTGAGCTTTACTATTAATGCATTCTGATACTGTCCCCCAAAATATTTGGAGAAATAATACTGTGAGAGTTAATGCACCGTGTAATGAAAATAGTAGTTCAGTATGCAGAAATAATGAAAGGTAATGTTCTAGAAGCAGGGGAAGATTTTTTTGCTACACAGCAGAAACTGTTAATCAAGGCCAGTTGATTAAACATCCGAAGAACATGTGTGGGGTAGGGGCTTTGCATTTGTTTCTGGGACTGGGGACCCCATGCCACATTGCTGCTTTTAAAACTCAGATGAGTTTTTAAAAAGTTATTTGTGAACATTTTGCTTGCCATTTTGAAAAAAGAAAAATGAAACTTCATACATGTGTGCAAATCCTAAAGTAAATTGTTTGGATCTTGGTGAATTAGGCTGCAATCCTTTACTCACTTACTTTGGCATAAGTTCCATTGAAATCAATGGGATTTGCCTTTGTGCAGGCATGTATAGGGTTGTGCTGCTAACTGCTTTGAAAATCCTTTGAAATACTTACTTAAAATATGCCCTTTTGATGTCCTGCTTGAACAATTTTAAACCCCAAGATGGAATAATAAATATATTCTCTCATACCTGGTTGAAGGTGAGTTTTGTTATTTTGTACTATAATTAAAATCATGTATGCTAGCAGCACCATCTTCTTTAACCCTGCAAGGCAAATGAGCCTGATGGGAAAACAGAGATCATTTTATATTCATACTACTAATCCAGTAATAGCCTACAAATCATGCCTGGGGTAACACTGGCATTATGAAGTAGACCCTTATGCTAGTGAATTCCAAAATACAGAAAGTGAGAATATATGTAATGTATACCTATGCTTTTGACTGCCTAATATTGTGGTCCCCCCTTTCATTAGACATATCTCTGAGTAATCAAACTGGGTCAAATTAGGCATAATATGAAAACTCCATGACTTTAATTCCTGACATTTTCTTTTTTTAAAAAAGGCAGAAGCAGAAACACTGATCAGGATTGAGCAAGGCAGGGGAGTTAACCTGTTTTGCCTGTCCAAATTTCTGCTGAATATGATCTCACACATGCCCCACAACTGTTTGCCCCAGCATATGGGAAAAAACACATGGGGTGATGTTTCTGAAAGTTCTTTATTTTTAAGTTGCAGCAAATATGTTCAGAGCCAGTGATTTCCAGCAGGGAAATACCATGAGGGCAGGTTATAACACCACCACCACTGTCTATTTTGGATCAGCCCCCTCCCCCCCGGCCACAGCTGATTTTTTTAAGAAACAGATTTTTGTAGTTCTAGCCATAGAACTCCAGCATCTCACCTAGTTTGACCCTCTTCCTGACAGGAACATGTTTGTGGGATTGTGTCTGTCAGTTATGAAATCTTAAGAGTTGTATCAAATTGTGTCTTGGAACAGTCTTTGATCCAGCAAAGTTTCTTTGAGAACAAAAAGTGGTGGAGGAGAGGTGATTTTTGCAAATTACGACATTCTCCTGCGGCTCAGCTTTAGGGACTGCAACAGGGAACTCCAAGAGGAAATGGGGAAATTGCCCCACCCCTTTTCTGATCCTAGAAGCATCCTCTGGATCACAGAGCCTTCTTGCAGCCGAGGGACACAATCTGATACAATCTGTAAATATTTACTACAAACTGAAGCAGATGTATAGTTAATGTAGTGTGTACTGCAGAATATATTTTTTAAAAAGCAGTTGCTACTGGTGCCCAAATTCTTAAGGAAAGTGTTCAGAAATCTGGTTCAAATAAATAGGTCACATTATGTTTAAGTTCATTTAAATGCTGTTTAAAAATACAAGAACCAAATTTCTGTATTAGTTTTCACAGATGTTTTTCCCAATCACACTACTGAAATAAGTATAATAAGATGCATTGCTGAGTTGTAAATCCATGCTGGAAAAGGGGTGCAATAGAATCTATGATATGGGGCCTTATTAAATCATAGCACAATGTTTGATAAAGGCAGCACTGAAAAGTCTCTTACAGGGATGGAGTAAAGATGATGGGCTATGAATCCTATTGCACTACATTGAAAGGCTGCAATATTCTTGATTTGATAGCCCCATAATGATAATGGCACAAAAGAGTGAGATAGCACTATTGACTTTATAGGATGGTCAAACAATTTGTGAACTTTAACATTTGCTTGAATATTTTTAAATGTTGCTTGTGATAGGCGTATAAATGGGTTTGCTCTTCAGTGGTATTTGAAAGCCTTGCTGTTTGTGTAAATTTGTGTAGGCTGCTCATGTTTGAGGTATATGCAATAATGTCTAAGCAATAAGTTGCATGTGTATTCAAGGCACTGGTAAATAAGAATAAAGGAAGAGAATGCAGTATTTATTGGAATTTCTTCATTCAAATTGTGTGTACTATGTTAAGTAAAACACTCTACTCCTGTTATGACAAACAGGAATGACTTGGCACTCATTGCCAGCTTCTGAATATGGCTACTTTATAAAAAGGCTTATTTCCTGTGGGAAAGGAGTAGCCAGAATTTTCTTCTGCGAACAACTTTTTCAATTATTGTATATACAAGCCTAACACACTGTGAGGTAGAATGAGATGGCTGCCTCGTGTGGCAGAATTAAGACACTATAAAAAAGTAATAGCGACCAGCTAAGTAGATTTTTTATAGTGAAGTGTGAAAAGTTATCTTCTATATTGTGATAAGCTCTTACAACCAAATATAATACATTTGGTTACATAAACATGATCATTGTGGACCCACAACAAGAGTTGCTGTGTATCAATACCCCTCCAACAAATCTGGAACAGGAATCTTGTAGTGCTGCTTGGAACATAGGGTGGGGTGAGGGGTGAGGAAAGGGTGAAATGGGTCATTTTCTGTATATTTCTTCTGAAATGTTTTTCTGCTGTGCTATAGCACTAAAGTGGTCGGGTTTGCTGTATAGTGGTAATGAGAAGATTTCTGAAAAGTGAAAATGATTTCCGTTCCCATTCCTCTCCTGTGAAACCTCACTATACTGTGTGAGACCTTTTTCCTTATAGCAGTGATTAAGTGTGTCATCAGATATCCTTTCTTCTTGCTGATTTTGTGAAAAATGAGAGGTCTGTGATGTGTGTCCAAAGGCTCTGGAAAGAAGATCTTTAATATCAAACAAGTTGTTTTGGGGTTTGTTTGTTTTTTAATGTGATGTTATGCCCATAGTGTGCACAACCTCAGAATTGCACATGTATGGTACTTTTTTGTCTTAATAAGTCTGCCAATTTGATTTTGTGTGTGTGCCATTTTGAGTTCAAAGTCATAATACACTGATTACTCAACAGTTGTTTCCACCCATCTATTAAGACGGGCTTATATATATATATATATATATATTATTGTATGTGAAGCATTTTTATCCTGCTTTTCAGGATGGTTTCCATTGCATCTAACAATAAAGAATATAACAGCAACAACTAATTAAAATCCATTCATGGAACTAAAATAATTACAACAAAACAGCAACACTGAAAGCAGAGAACTTCAGTAAGGGCATTGAAGTTATAAGCAGAAATCCAGGTTAAAACTTCATTCATTAAAAGTGCTTGCAAAAAACGAAGCAGAGTCATCCAAGTGTCCTTTAGGAACTAATTTCACAACTAAGAAACTTGTATCTGCTGACTTCAGAAGGCAGGACACCTTGTGCAGGCCTTACCTAAGTGGTTGTTCCCTCAGTGTGCAGTGTTCATAATTTTTATATCATTTCTGGTTGTTGTGCCACTCCATTATTCTACATCTGTAGATTTCAAATGTTTGCAGAACCTTCTTCCATATTTACTTGTTTGTTGATGAATTGTTGTGTGACTTCCACACAACCCCTGTGCCTCTTGCAATCAGTTCCTGGGAATGTTTGAGCCACATACATTGTTCATGTGGGATGTTAGTCAAGCCTGTTGAGTATCATTAACATACCTTGCATGAACTGAGGATGTAATTCAGTAGGCAGAGCCATTATTCCCTCTGCAGCTGCTTCTACTTGCAAAGTTAGTAGTGGTAGGCAATCTTGTCATTTTGTCTACTCATTTGAACAGTCTTAATAGCAGCACTATAGTTCCATGTGGACATAATAAAGCAATACAATAATATGACTGTGTAACTACTGGCGTTTGTTTTTCTATGAGCCACTTAGTTCATTCTTTTTCTGTTCTCACTTGCTATTCTAGAATTTAGATCTGTATAGCAGCATTGAATAAACTTATAATTCTTTTTCATAGTCTCCAATTGTAGAAACATTAGGAGTAATGGATAAACGATTTCTACAGATGTTTAAAGCTACTGGACTATAAAGCTTAATTATTTTGTGAATTCGAGAACTTAACGTGCCAAAGCAATAAAAGATGTGATACAATTAAATATTGCTTTACTGTAGAAAGCAACATTGTAAGTGCTTTTGTAAACAATATTATTGATTATACATATACAGACTAATTCTGTGCGCTTAATGAAATTCACTGCAGTCTACACAAGCTAATGGCAGTTTTATTACCTGCCATAGTATTAAACTTGTTGCTGCTGCAAACTAACAGAGCGCTATTTTACAATGAATAAAGGACACACACACAATAATAAATAAAATGCTAGTAATACTCTGAATTAAGTAGCTGAATTTTTCAGGGTTGTCGGATAGTTTCATTTTTTAACAGTTGGAAAAATAATGTGTTGGGTACCCTATCTGTTCCCCAATTCATTCAGTGCCACTTGTAAAGCTAAGTTCCAATTAAAGACCTGAGGTGGTGTTTTTTTCTTTACCTGCCAGAATGGTGGTTCTTCCAGAACGGATCATAGTTTTAATTGATCTGTCCACAGCACCGGTGCTGAACTGCTAGTGGAATAATATTTGACATCAATATGTATTTTTGTCTGTTCAGTTTTGCTTTCCTTTTTTTAAAAAAAAGTTAATTACTTTGGTGCAAGGTTTTGCATACTTTAGGAAAGGCTTCCTCAACCTCCTCTCTCCAGATGTTTTTAGCCTACAACTCCCATGATCCCTAGCTAGCAGGACCAGTATTCAGGGATGATGGGAATTGTAGTCTCAAAACATCTGGAGGGTGGAGGTTGAGGAAGGCTGCTTTAGAATTTCACAGCCTTTCCATTACTGGTGGAAAAACCTCATAGGTGGGCAACCTGTGGGCACCTGCAAACGACCTGTTGTTGCAAGGGGGATCTGTTCTTCCTGCCTTCCGCTGGGCAGGGAGAAGAAGAAGAAGAAGAGTTTGGATTTGATATCCCGCTTTATCACTACCTTAAGGAGTCTCAAAGCGGCTAACATTCTCCTTTCCCTTCCTCCCCCACGACAAACACTCTGTGAGGTGAGTGGGGCTGAGAGACTTCAAAGAAGTGTTACTGGCCCAAGGTCACCCAGCAGCTGCATGTGGAGGAGCGGAGACGCGAACCCGGTTCACCAGATTACGAGATTACTGCTCTTAACCACTACACCACACTGGAGAAAGAAAGGGGGTGGCAACAGAAAGAGAGCAAAAGGAAGAAAGGAGGTTTTAGAGGGAGAAGGGTGACCTCACCTACTCTCTGTTCTGTCCTTAGCCATCACGGGGAACGCTGTGGTCGAAAGTTTTCAAATCCTGGCCGCTTCAGCACCAACAGGTGTCACACTGGAACAAATAAAATAACCACTCTTTTCGGTTTTGCATTTCTTAGGATTCAGCAGAGCTAAGGCGCAATTTGTCGCACCAGGGACGAGCTGCTGTTTGGGGGCGGTGTTTAGATTTCAGCCAGGTCTGGGGAAATCTGAAGAAAGAAGGGGGGGTCGTGTGTGGGGATCCAATAAATCCAAGATGTGCGGTCTTTAAAGGTAAAGGTAAAGGGACCCATGACCATTAGGTCCAGTCGTGGCCGACTCTGGTCTTTACACACACGCAAATAGGGGACGGCGTGGTTATCTATCCACAGTCAGCATCGACTAGTAAATGAAGAGGACCCTATGGATTAAATGACTGACACGATAAAGCACCTTTTGCCCCATTGGTCACTACCAAGGCTTAATTTCCTCACGTGAAAAGGGACAATGATCGAGCTTACTCGCCTTGAAACCTCTGACATGGGAAGCTAAGCGCCATTGGCTAAGCTGTGAGGTTTATAGTCACTCCACGGAGAAGGAAAGGCACTCGTAGCATGCTCAGTGCTATTATTTACACTCCCCCCCGCTTTCAAAACGAAGCCTGAAGGTTCGGGGGGAGGAAAGGCGGGAAGAGAGAAACTGTTCTCCTCACGCCCGGAGCTCGCGACGGGAGAGAAGCGGCCTCTGAGGTTACCGTGGAAACGAGGAACCTAACGTCTCTCGCTTTTTTTTTTATTTTTACCTCGCGCCCTCGCCTTTTTGAATTCGCGGAGCGCTGGGTTCCAGGCCCCGCCCCCCACCTCCCGCACAAACCATTCTCCCCACCCGCTTCTTAGTTCAGTCCCGTTGGCCCTTTGAGCTCCGCCCTGATCTCGCAGCGTCGGCTCTCGCGAGAAGTGGGCCGCATCTCGTGACTGGGGCCCCGAGGTGGTCGAGGAAACAGAGGTAAGCGGCGGTTGTCCTCCCCCCGCCACCGGTGAAATTCGGGTGGGTGGGTGTGTAGTGGCGTGTCACGCGCCTTGCGTGACAGGCCTCCGGGCTCCGCTTCGCGTTGTGGGCGGCGAGGCCTTCCCTCTGAGGGAGAAGCGCCCTTCAGGCTTTCCCCACTGAACGCATGAGCTGGTTTTGGTGACCAAGGAGACACCTCCCCCCCCCCACCTTACACAAGTCCAGCTCCCCATCTCATGGCCTCGGCCTGTTCAGGCCGCCCTGATCTGCCCGTGTTGTTGTGTGAAGGCTCGGATGTGGCTGGTGATGTGTGTGCTGCCCCACGTCCCTGCGCATACAGCTCCCCCTAACGCATTGCATTGGTCTTATAACCGTCAAGGACCCCTGCAAGGTGACCCTGGGCAGATCCTCCTAAAAGCCGGAAATCCAGGTTCTCATTCTGCGCTTTCCCCCCTCCCATCTCCTTTCCTACTAAAATACAGTGGTACCTCGGGTTACATACACTTCAGGTTACAGACTCCGCTAACCCAGAAATAGTACCTTGGGTTAAGAACTTTGCTTCAGGATGAGAACAGAAATCGTGCAGCGGTGGCGCAGCGGCAGCAGGAGGCCCCATCAGCTAAAGTGGTGCTTCAGGTTAAGAACAGTTTCAGGTTAAGAACAGAACGAATTAAGTACTTAACCTGAGGTACCACTGTACTAAAATTAGCTAAATCATTGATCCTTTGCCTGCCTTCACATGGCATCTCCAAATGCTGTCGGGCTGCCTCATCTTGGAAGCAGCAGGATGGAAAAAAGTCACAGAATCACACAATTGTAGAGTCGGAAGGGACCACGAGGGCCATCTAGTCCAACCCCCTGCAGTTCAGGGATCTTTTGCCCAGCGTGGGGCTCGAACCCATGGCCCTGAGATTCAGAGTCTCATGCTCCACTGACTCAGGTATCCCAGGTGTGCAGTAGTTGTATTCTGGTTTTGACCTTTTAAACTGCCAGGTGCTGGACTGGATAAAGCTCCCGTTCTCTATTTAGGATGAGAAAAAGAAATCCCCTAAGAGTTGTCCTGTTTCTCCCCTCCTTTTTGAGGCCTTCAGGTCTGTGTGGTGGCTAGCGCCCACGGGAAATAGAAGCTTGAAAGGCAGGGAGAACAATGGTAAGTGGAGCTAGAGCCAATGACAAGCGGAACCAACCAGTTCTAGTTTTGTTCCCATCCTCCTTGATAAGTTCAAGGGCAACACAGACTAAGGCGGAGGAAGCTGACAGCCGCTGTCACCCATAAGACTGGTTGTAAGAAGGCAGGCAGGTGGGGGCAGGCTTAGGCTGGTGGAACAGTGCCCCTTTTCCCCTAATCGACCAGTCTCCACTGCTTCAAGAACTATAGTTGTTCATGTACTTCAGGTAACTTACTCTGTTTCTGTACATTTGACGCACAGAAAATTCTCACCATCCAGGTGAATGGTGGCTGTGACTACCTGAAAGCGCTTGGACATGGACAGGTGTGCATGTTACCAAATTCCTTTCTGATGTGGAAAATCAAGTCTGTGTAGTCACTGCATGAAATGCTCTGAGAGTGTCTTGCCATTGAATCCTTTGGCGAAGCCCCCCTCCGAGTAGGAATAAGACTTGAAGTACCCCAGACATTCTCCCCCCCCCCCCTGTAAATTTCAAAGATGCGTGTGGAAAGTAGGTAGAAGTGCAGCTTATAGTTCCTGGTTTATATTTACAAGCATCCCCACATTTATGCAGGGGTTATGTTCCAGCCCCCCCATGTGCATAACTGAAATCACGTAAAATGGGGAGCACCCCACTTTAATAGGGGGGCCTGTGGTGTGGAGGAGAGAGATTCAAGTGTGCTGCCAAGGCTGCTGCCCAATGCACCTTCCCTTGCTCGGAGTTACTGCCTGGAAGTCACTCAGGGTCTCTGTCTGTCCTATTCTGAGCATTCTCTCACTTGGGGCCACTGTCCCGAGCCTTCCCTCCAGTATTTAATAACCATTATGGCCATGCTTCATATCTGACCATAACTATTCACTTTCAGTCTCTGAAATAATTATTCTTAGCAAGTCACCTTTCTGGTTTTATTTCTTCATTTTTCTAGTAAATAATACACTGTATTAATATGCTTGACTTTGCATTTCAGATGCCCTGTCAAATCTGGTTTTAAGGACGAGGTTGTCATGGGTTCATCTTCATCTTCTCCATCAATTGCACTCCAAGCAAATGTATCAGAACAGCCTCAGGCTGTGCCTTCACAATGTCCAATGCACCAGAAGAACATGGAAGGTAATTGGTCACTCAACTAAACAAGCTAAGCATGTGAAAAATGATTCTAAAATCGCTTCAAAGAGGCTTATTTAACAATAAGCATAGGTTTCCACATTTTGGTTGGCCTGGTAAATATGAGAACTCCCAGCAGCCTTGCTGCTACAGAGGTGGGTGAAGTTCGCAAAGTTTCTATGTAGTTCTCCCCTTCTCCTACACAAAGGTTAGTAGAGTGAAGGGTGGTGATTGTTCAGCCTCTGAGGTGGCTGAAATGCCTCAGCTATACCAGGCCAAATCAGCAAGGCTCTGCCAGTCTTTTCAGCTTGAGTAAGAAAAGGTGGGGTGGACAAGGGTAGTGTCTTTGGAGTCAAGGTGTCTGGACCATGCTAGAAGTGTAGGACCAAACCAACAAGCTTGGAGCTGGAAAGGGAAGCAGTGGGGTATCTCTTCCCTCGTATGAGGTTTGCGACAAAGGGAAATGGGGTCCCAGCAATCACAACCGTTTGGCTTGGCTTCCAAGGCCAGCCAGTATTTGTGGACCCAGAGCTAATATGGCTGGTTCTTTAAGCCCTAAATGTGTGGATGTTAAAGCAAGAGAGTTTTTTTCCATTGGGATTTATTTTTATCATTAAGAAGCTTCTGAATTCAGGCTAGGCACTCTTATTATCCAACATTAGAATTCTTATTCGATCTTCTCATTATGATAACTTATTTATTTATAAGGTTGCCTACCCACCTCTTCATCTTAAGTTTACAGCATTACAATATTCAATTATAAAACATGTAACACTGTTTCAGATGAAGAGAATGATATAAATTCAACAAAAGAGGCAGGTCCCGTAAAACAAAGGTCCTAATATCCAAAGTAAAGAAATGCCTCTTCAGCATGCCTTGAAAGCTGCTTAATGAAGATTCTAGACACACTTTGTGGGGAGAGAGTTCCACAGTTTAGGGGAGAAAGCTCTCTTGCCATTCCTCACAATTCTGAGGGTGAGGCAATTACCAAGAGAGCCCACTCCTAACACCCAAGAATAGTGATGGAGATGATCCTTCAGATATTTTGGGCCCAATCATTAGGACATTAAACATGTTGCCTGGCAGCTATTGCAGCTGTTGTAAAACAGAAGTTATATGAATTCTAAATGGAACCCTAGCTAGTAATCTAATGAGAAAAAACAATCTTCATGAATGACTTTTCCATTGCAGCTACAGAAGAGAAATACAGGACATTTATTTTCATAAATCAAAATGTGAACCGAGGTCCCAGTCCTAACTCTGGCTGGGCTTCAGCAGGGCTTAACAGAATAGTGAAACAACCAACACAACCCTACCACTTGTGCTTGATAGGAAAAGGAGGTTGTTTTGGTATATCAGTGGCAGGGGATGTGCAGAAACGAGGGCTGGATCTTACAGCTTGTTGAACTGGCTTAGGATCTATTTTGATCCTTCTTCTTCTTTGGTGATCACTCGTAGCCGAGTAAGATTGTCTTCCATGGATTCCCTAGCTCTGGAACACCCTGTTACAGGACTTTACATTGGCTGCTGCCAGTGGCAACTTCCACCTATTCATGCTTTCAGTAGGTTGGGACCTCTAGCAGAACAGGCTTCCTGCCAGTGAAGCCTGGCATAGCCAGGCAAAGCTGTGCAGAGAGACATGCTTGCTTCATTCACCTGTCCCTGTGCATCAGGGTATATTGTGCTGCAGTATAAATATTGACTCACAAAATACATTTCCAGTCACACTACATCAAACTGTATAAATAGAAGCATGAATAAAGTTCAAATTAAGGGCACAGTGAACTAGATCATTTGCCATTAAGTTCATATTCTGCTGCACAAAATTATGGTTTGTTTTGTTTCAGGTTGTCCAATGAATATGCAGTCAGCTGGCAGTCTTAGTGAGAACCAGAGCTATCCTGTTCCTGCGCATCAAGAAAGAGCATATGAATATGTGGAGTGCCCTGTGAAATCTCAAATGCATGAGAAGATTGATCCTAGCAATATGGTAGCCTCAAAGTTTTTCCCCCCTAGTGTGCTTTTATAAAATATAAAAGTGATATTTTAACATTATTATGAGGCCAACAAGAATTCTGATATGTTTCTGCTGCAACTTTTAAGAGTAATGCCTAAAAACTTGGTATTTCATGTTGCAGACATCTGTTAACGTAACTGAACTGAGATTACTTTGAGCTGTTTATTCTGTAGTGCAAAGTATCACCCTGTCTTCAGATTGAAAAGGCAGTTACCCTGAATATTGCTTTTCAATATTGCAGTATTGCATTTGGCTGCTCTCAACAATAGACAGTAGCCATCAAAATATAATTTTCTCTATATCTGCTGTTTATGAAATTGTCAGGCTGATATCGTTACTTCTGTTCAGTTTATCATTTTTGCAAGCAAGTTAGAACATTTGTGACAGGCATAGTATTGTCTCTGTATTAATTTAAGGCAATTCTGATTGTAAATATAGTAATCTTGACTAACACCTGTAGAAAGTGAACGCTTCAGCCTTTCAGATCCTGCCTTCCTTTGTTCTTCTTCCAGTAATATTTATTAAAACTAATATCATCTCTTCTGTTATCATTCACCTTTGGACACCCTTTCCTTTCCTACCAGGGACATGTCTGTCAATATCCTGGGAGATTTGATGAGTTGTTTTTAAAATGCTAATCATCTGCTCAGTTTACTTACTTGCATTAACTTAGTTCCTTTTTAACTTGAAACATACGAATTGAATGCAGGGTGGTATAGAAATGTTTAATCTGGGGAACCGGGTTCGCGTCTCTGCTCCTCCACATGCAGCTGCTGGGTGACCTTGGGCCAGTCACACTTCTCTGAAGTCTCTCAGCCCCACTTAACTCACAGAGTGTTTGTTGTGGGGGAGGAAGGGAAAGGAGAATGTTAGCCGCTTTGAGACTCCTGAAGGGGAGTGAAAGGCGGGATATCAAATCCAAACTCTTCTTCTTCTTCTTCTTCTTCTTAAAAGAATTTTTTTTAATTAGTAAAGGGCATCCACCCTCCTGGTTTCAGAGCCTTTGAATCTCTGCATCCTAAGGCTCAAAAAAGAAGGTAGTGTGAAAAGCCAACCTCAGACGTATAAAGCATGAATAAAATAATTTATTTATAAATAAATGTATAGGGTGGAATTCAACAATCCTCTCTTCCATTTGCTCTGTCTGCACAACTGTTCCAGACAGCACAACCTGCTCCTTCCCCTTCTCTCCTTTTTGGATAGCAGGTTGGGAAGAGGAAGGAAGCCTGTTGTGCAATGGAAGTCCTTGCACAGGGCTTCTGCTGCCAGGGCTGGTTTACTGAATCTTTCCCATAAAGTCTATTTTTTAACAGTGCAGAATTCTTGTTTCCAAGTGTTAAGTAACTCCTGAGCTGAACAGCAAGTAACCAATGTGTTGGGTCATTCAGAGTACTCTGGACAAAACACTCTTCTTTGAAATGTTTGACTAAATGAAACTTGCTCTTGTTAAAGGATGTCTTAAGTAGAGTAGGTGAGAAGCATACCTGGAGTGAGGGAAGTTATCACTGAAGATACGGTTCTTTATCGCAGAATATCCACTGTTCTTATTTCCTGCTCCTTCTTATTTAGATGCCAGCACCTAATCAGCTACCAGCCCCCGATCAACCATTTCCATTGTCTACAGTGAGAGAAGAGTCTACTATTCCTAGAGCGTCTTCTGAACAAAAATGGGTTTATCCCTCAGAGCAGATGTTTTGGAATGCAATGCTTAGAAAAGGGTAAGTGAATTATAAATTAAGTACAGCATCACTTTGCTGACTAGCCTGCTGATGCAGGTACAACAAAAAGTGCATTGAAATCACCCTGCTCATGCTTCTCATCCTCTCAGATTAACTGTAACCTGTCTCAGCATACCTGGGATTTAAGGTGGATTTATAAACATCCAGGTGTTCGTCCATTGCCTCTCCCATTGCTCTCTTCATTTTATTCACCCCCCCCCACCCCCTGAAATATATTTGAGGCTGTGCCTGTGCTGGCTCATTTATTTATTTGAGTAACCACTTGATGTTGCTTTCATTAAATATTAACATACAGGTGTGAACAGGGCCTAGTTAAGTTTACAAAGTCCTGTGTACACAGGGTTATCTGTGAGTAACCCTGTTGAACACAGGGACATAAGTCTGAGTAAATATACACAGGATTATGCTGTCAATCAGTCTGCCTGGAAGCTATGCTTAAGCTCTCAACTTTCCTTTTTTTAACCATAGTGTATGAGCATTTGATCTTAGACATGACTATAATGCAGACTTTCTAAAATACTGGCAGTTGCGTGATTGAGCAAAAATGTCTTCAAGCTTTTTAGAAGTTAGGCAACTATGGTAAAAGACTAAAATGTGCAGGTGGTATAGCATGCATCTTTCAGCCCCCTGAAAATCTGCTCTGGAGGGTTTTGGGTACCCTTGGGAGCAGTGTGAGTTGGGTCTGTAGGGGAAATCACACCTTCAGCCTGTGGGGATGATGTCCATTTAGCAGAGCAGGAGGTTCCTCTGGATTAGAGTCTGCAAACAGAAGGAGTTGATGGAACCAACCCATTAAACTTATGCTTTTTGACTGTGCTTTGAAGAAAAGGCCCACAATCTGTTATGCAAACACCCAGTTTAGCTGAAAAATGAAGAAGCCTACAAAGATTTACCATCGCAGCAAAAAACAGGCAAGTAGTATATTGTGCTGTTGGCATATTTGAGTTTTGTGCCAGCTTGGTAAATAACATCTCTACTTAGTTATTTCTTTGTTCAGTGGAGGAAGGGCAGAGAGATGGGGAACTTGATTTCAGTCAAGTAGTTCCCCCTCGCACAATAAAATAAAGACTTGGAACTCCACAGTTCCCCTCTGATACCTCATTTTTCAATATTCCTTCTGTAGATGGAGATGGAAAGATGATGACATAAAACCTGAAGATATGAATAATATAATCAAGATTCATAATCAGAATAATGAACAGGCATGGAAGGAAATTTTAAAATGGGAAGCACTTCATGTAAGGCAAGTACAGCTACAATTTATATTCACAGTTTGATACAGTATCTTGTAATAAAAGATATACAGGTGAGTTTTTGTTTTCTCATAGTAATTCTAGGTTTTGTGCATTTTCGTGTTGAAAGGAAATACATATGGAAATGAGAAGTTGGTGCAGGTCTTTCACTAACATGATTAGGCTTTTTTTTACTTTCAGAACTAATTTGTTCCTCTTTAACTTTCTGAACCATAGAGGTCAAATAACTCACAGAGACTGTTGAAAGATGCTTTGGGGTTCTGCAATTAGCATCTAAAGGTCACACTATTTGAGGTAGTTTTGTGAGTTCAATTAACGTGACAATTTTTTTGTTACATAAATAGTAGCCATGCAAAGCCTGCCACAGCCCTGACAAAAATTGCTTCTCTGAAGCTGTTTACAATTAAAGGGAGAGGTGTTTTTGTGTGTGTGTGTGTGTGTGTGTGTGTGTGTGTGTATGAAGTAAAAAAAAGGGGGGAATCTGCTGCCTTTGACACAGGAAGGTGTGATCTCCACAGAATAAATATCATTTTATAATTTCATTTTGCTGTTGTGAAATTGAAGTTAAGAAATGTATCTATAGTTGTATGGTGGACACATTTAAGTCACAAACAAATACTTCTTAGTCCTTTTGACTGCAATTGTTTAGCCTTGATTGCTGATTATGTGTTTCTAAATTGCCTTTAGGGAGTGTCCATGTGGACCAGCACTTATTCGGTTTGGTGGTAAAGCGAAGGAGTATTCGCCAAGAGCCAGAATAAGGTCTTGGATGGGGTAAGCTGTATAGATCAGATTGCTTTCTATTTTAAAAACAAAAAGTCTTAAAATTTGGAATCTTTGTGTTTAACAGAATGGGACTTGAACGAGGCAGGTCTTTGTTAGGTACCTTAACTTTAATGTTTGCTACATGTGACATATGTAATGATTGATATACAGTTGGGCTACTTTTTAAAATTCAACAACATTAAGACTTTTATTTCTTTCTAGCTATGAACTACCTTTTGATAGACACGATTGGATTGTTGATCGCTGTGGAAAGGAAGTTCGATATGTAATTGACTATTATGATGGAGGAGAAGTAGATAAGAACTATCAGTTCACCATTTTGGATGTCCGTCCGGCTTTTGATTCCCTAACTGCAGTATGGGACAGGATGAAAGTGGCTTGGTGGCGCTGGACTTCATAACTAAATTTGTGCAGTATGAACAGTTACACTATTTGGGCAAAGTGGTGCTGCCCTAACTTTGGACTTTAATAAAAGTTTATGGTGACTTAAGTCAACAGCATTCTACTTTCCATTGGAGGAGAAATTACATTTATTTAAACAAGCCTCTCATTAAATAATACAGTGTTTATGTTGTCCAACAGTGTTGACCTTTCAGAAAAACTCTATGGAAACATGCTCAATAAGGAATACGGAAGGCACTCAACTAGTGAATGTAGTATATCAGTACTATGAAATGGGAGTAGCTGTAATCTTAGTGGACGAGCAATTACAACCTTTTAACAGTGATACCATAAAACCTGAAAGATGAGTGCATAAACTGTTTTGAAATTATACCTTCTGCTGTAAAAAATAAAATGACATTTAGTCTTTAAAAATCCACAAAATCCTTTTTGAGTGACTTACATACCATAGATTTTATATTACACTGAGTGTATATGTTCTCAAGGTAACCATGATTCATGCACAACCATATGTGTTTAAAAGCAATCAGAAGTCATCTGAATCAACAGCATTTATATCCTGCCTTTTATATTAAGCTGAAATTAAGGTGATGCTTGGCTAATTAAGTTGCTCTTCTGAAAAAAAAGAACTTACGTCGGAGTGTGGTCCTGTATTTGCCCTTTTAAGAAGAAAGGTGTCTTAAAACATATCAATGCCAAAGTTAGTTATGCAGTGCAAAAATGTATTGTTAATGGAACCGCCTTTAAAACATTTCATTTAGTTTGATGAATGTAGGCAAAAATATTGCTCTCCAGAGATGACAGCATTTGCCACTAAATCCAAACTTACACATAAATAAGACTTTCAGCTTGTGTTGGAAATGTAACAACTGCTCCCAAGTTAAAACCTGAGTGTACCATTTCCCTGTTCAGATGGATGCAGAAAAGTCACTTGGCCAATCGTAGGTGCAGTTGAGTTGATAACCATTCTATACCAGTGCTGCTGGTTGTATCTAGGAAAACACAATAAAAGTTATGAGGATTGCACACTCAGTTTGTCCTTCTCACCTCCACTCCTTTTGGCTTTAAAAGGACAGAGCACAAGGACAAGCAAGGTGAGTGAAGACAGAGTGGGTGATTCGCTCTTGTATAATTGTTTGCAAGGCTGTTGTACACATCCCTTGGAAGAATATTCTTCAAGAGCCTTTGAATAAAGAAGGAATTATTCGCACAAAAAATAAAGATATAATAATAAGAACATTTGCAAAGAGGATTTTTTTGGGGGGATGCTGCTAGGGAGAAAACCATTGATAGAATATTATTATTATTATTATTATTATTATTATTATTATTATTATTATTATTAATTGAATTTATATACTGCCCTATACATGGGGGTCTCAGGGTGGTTCACAGAATAAAATAAAGATATAAAACCACAACACATACACACACACAAAACAAATATTATTAGGATATCAAATAATGTTTTTGTTGAAGGATCTATATATGCAACATTCACAATTGATTTGCTAAATTAAATCATCTTGGAATTGTGTTTGAAAATGCATACAGGGTAGGTATAAAACAGCAAGGAGTATCTATATAGATATGTAGATGCAATAATTCTACCTCTTGACATGCTGAATGTTGCATCTTAATTGATGTTGTTCAAGGAATATTGGCATGTCTACAAGATGCATTTGCTGTCCAATTATCCATTGTTCTAGTGTGTGTACATTTATCTTCGTTGTATATAGATGAATTCAGTTACATGTCAACTGCTTCATAGGTGTGTCTTTGGTTTTAATAAACTATTTTTTACTTTATTGCTTGTCGGATTTTATTTTCTTGGGGTAAACACTTCAGTGATTTGGTGATACCTTAGCAATGCACAAAGCATTCAAAGCCTTGGAGTTCCTTAAATGTTTCCATGCCTGTGGGCTTTTTGACTAAGTCAGTAAGGCTGGAACTAAGCATGATACATGTGTGCAGAAGCCTGCTTTAATTGCACATTGCTCTTGCTGGGTTGGGGAGATTTTGTGCAGCCTGAAAAGTCCCCTCCAGGATTGCCAAGGTACAAAACCAAACTGCCCTCAAGGTTACGTGTCTTCCCCCATCATCTGTATGGTAGGCGTGGATGTCTTTGAGGACAACAACCTATATAGGTTCCAGTATGAAATATATTGGGCCAAATGCACAGACACTTTGAAACTGAAAATACATGCATCTGAATTCATCAGTATGGGCCATTTAAGCACAGAAATGTAACATCAAAATTTCCAGGAATACTTGCTCTATACAGAATATGTATTTACTGAGTACCCATTTGGCAGAGTTCATAAAAAATGCATTACGCCAAACTTTCGTATTTGCCTCCTTTGCATTTTGTGAGGAGAAGCTGTTTCATGGCATGAATATTACCAGGAAAGACATTCTTTCAAATGAAAATAAGTTTCTTAAATTGCATTTTGTTTTGTTTTTAATTCATCATTTTACTAAGAATTTTCTGTGCCTTTTCTATTCCTTAAAAGGAGACACATGGATCATATTTTGCTTGCTTGTATTGGAACAAAAAAAATGCAGTGTTCTTGTTTTGGGCCTCTAGTCAGGTTTTTTTTAAACACTTTTAAGTTCATTCAGGAATATGTTAGCACCTGTGAGCCATTTGCTCAGATCTAAATGATTAACTCTACCTTGCAAAAATAAGGGACTTGATTTCCCCCCTCTGAAAATGACAGCTATGTTTCCTTTTGTGATGAAATAAAACCTGTAGTTAAGAATTAATGAAGATGCAGATGGTCTCCACTTAATCTGACCTTTCTCAAATTGTAGGTATGAATTAATTGCACAGGATGATGCTATTGTGACTGCATTAACACCACAAATGTCATGGTAGGCCATCAGATACTTGCAAAGTTGAGGAGTCATAAGAAAAAGATTAAAACTCGTGTTTACAACATTTAAATCTGCTCTGACCTTTATAAAGTACAGTTTACTTTCCAAAGAAATATGCTGCCTGAGTGTATAATAGCAATTAAACATTCAAACAAAACTTTTTCTTTAACGGTTTATCTAACATACTTTTGCATAGTTTTTAAATTCCTCAGACAAAACCCTCACAGTTTTAAGTTTCTGTGAAATGCAGAATTTTGTGGTTTTAAAAATGCCTGACTCATTTATTGTACAGCATGCAGGTTAGGGTATACATATTTCAAAAACACCATGTAGGTCATGACTTCTGGGCATACAATATTGAGCTCTTACTATCATCTCAGCACTACTGCTCATCTGTTCTTGTTGCAAATAAACCTACCCCTCTGATCCTTTTGATTTCACAAGCAGTTTGGATTGTTTGAGCAGTTAGATAAAGGTCATTTAAAAAGAAAAAAAAGTCACTCAAACTGTTCGAAAGGAACTGAAATTCTGGATCTGCGTGTGGAAAGTCTGAGTGATACATTCCCCAGGTGGGAAGGATTAAGTAACAAGTGTGCTATCCTTGCAGCTAAAGTTACGAACACATTATATCTTTACCATATGGTCCCTGACATTGCCCCTGCAGACCCACATTAACATTTTACATTACATGGTGGTAAAAAGTGAATGTATTAAGTACCCTTCTGCTAAAATTGCTGCCTATGATACAGCTATAAACAGTATTATAAAACAGTGGTTCCCCAATTCCACCCAACTGCAAGACAACTTGAGGGTCTTACCAGACTACTTAATTTCCCCCCCTGCCTGCTGTAGCAAATGTGATGCACTGGTGCTAGATGCACTCTCTGCTTTTTAATTGTGCTGTTATTGCTTCTTTTACTTCTTACTGAATTTATTGTATAGAACTCAAATTATATTGTATTTTATGGTAAGAATTCAAATAATCCATAGAATTCAAATTGCAAGACAACAAAATACAATATAAGAAATAAAAGAAGCAATTCAAATGCAATTAAAAATTAAGAACATTTAATGTGATGGATGGGCCGTCGCCCGTCTTCGACCACAAATCCATACACACACCACAGACCACCTGAATGAAGCTCGGTTCGCAGACCAGTTTAGGAAGCCCTGTTCTAAAACACAGCCATGTTTGGCAGAAAGTGTTATTCTCTCAGTCTGCAGATGCATTTTTTGGCTGCATTTTTATACGCAATGAGTGCAGTGTATTAAATGACTTTGTTCAATCCTCTCAGAAGTATGGCATCTTCAGCTGAATTGGATACCAATTAAATACTTTGAAAAGGATGGATTTTTCTCCATCACATATATATATAATGATTGAACAACCAAAGCACACAATGTACATAAAGAGAACAATTACCATACAACATAATAATATAGGTTCAACACAATGAGCTTTGTAATAAAGTATAAAAAATCAGGAGTGAATGAAATGGTTACAATTATTATAAATGAGGTGTAAAAGCACATGTTGCATACTTCAGTAGGGAAGACCTTTTCCTTCCCCCCCCTATTGCTGTAATATTAATTTCTTAACCTTGTATTAGTCACTAATACGTCTTTAATCAGTCATTCTGACTACTGGGGATTAATATTGTTTCTGTTTAGGTCCTGAGACCTTGCCAACATTGGTGAGTTTTAAAGTGATAAAATTTATGTAGAAGAAAGCGGAAAAGATAATATAATATAATATAAATCTATGCTTGAATAGTGCAACTGTGGATGTGCAAATATACTCTCCTCCCTAGCTGCGGGACATGCGTGTTTACTGCACCCTTTCAATTAAGCATCAGTACATCCCAACAGTATGGCTACAACAAGCCATATTCTGATGGCAGTTCCATTTATCCACACATATCTTTTATATGTGAATTAAATCTGCAAAGGGCTAAGTTACAAGTGTTCGCATACCAGGAATTGGTAGGCCACACTAATTAGCTGGTATGTTAATAATAAAAACAGCTAATAATATTAGTTTTTTGTGAGCCACACAACTGGATTTTTTTTTTTAAATAGAAAAGAGTTCCTACACAGTAATAATGCAACAGAAGGCCAAGAATAGACATTCATCTTGAATTTAAATATTTAGCATTTTCACAAGCCTGTGACTACAAGAGAATGTATTACGTTTAGATGGGATTTAGATCTTTGACATGAAGTGGATATTTGCATAGTGTGACAAATATCAAACTGACATTATGCTGTCTCATTTGATGACTTCCAAATGTCAGAGTGCAAGAACTTGTGTGTGGGGACCTCAGTGACTTTAGATAGTGTCAGTTTAAAAGACATTTACATTGACTTATTATTTTTTAAAAATTATTTAAATGTATAAAATGTATTAAACAAAGCATTGTTAAGAAAGGAAGATGGTTGCTGGGGGAGTGCGATGGGAGGAAAAGATTGTCATAAAAGAAGAAGGTGGTAAGTTTCAGCTAATTTTCATAGACGCCTTTCTGACAGGAGCAAGCAATACTTTGCTGCACTTTTGACAGCCTCTCTTCAACTGTTTCTGGCACCTGCCGCTCATTCCCCTATTAGTTTGTAAATATTTCATACTTACAGGTATGAAATATGTAGACTGCTGAAACATGGCCACACTGCTGTTTTTAATAGTTTCTTTTTTTTTTTTGGCCTTAGTATTTGTAAGTGAATTTTTTGTGGGCCTGCTGCTTTACGTGCAATTATCTTTGCACAGCTGCAGCAGCAAGGAAGCTGTGGTTTTGTTAAGCACCCTTTCACTTGGGCAGCTGCGACCATGGTACCTTGGAAAATGCTTGTTCGGATATATTTCCCACCTGACCCTAAGAGCTCATGGCCCACCACAGCAACTACGAAGGCAGCATGTGGGCCTGTGTACTTTTAAGCATCCACAATAAAATACAAATACGATTTGAGGGAGCCTTGGGAGAAGGTGCCGCTGATGGTTCCCTCCTCTGCCAGTGGACCCTGGCCGTGAGCTTATTCTGGCAGGTGGCTGTGTATAACCACCCATTTATTTTCCCACAATGCTCCAGGATGACACTAGCTGAAAGCAGCGGTGGTTGTGAGGATTTTGCGCTGCCTTCAACCGGACTGCCATACAAACAGAAAGTGTGTCCTTGATTTCCCGCTGCCCACACTCTTGCCAATAAGGCACAATCCTGGGCCCTGCCCTGCCCACATATAAATCATGGGCACAGCATATCTTGGAGCACCTAATTCCCCATGAACTCTCCTAGCTATGAATAACTTCACAGGAAGCCTTGTCTCTATTTAGCTGACAGAGGCTTTTGGTGGAGACTTTCGAGATACGTTCCATATAAGGTTTTTTCTTTTGTAGGTAATTGTTTTGAGCCACTTCACATGATGTTACTACATGGGTTGGGTTGCCCTGTCTATTTTTGCCATGGATTGCTTTTTAAAAAATTTTTTAGTTGCCACCTTTTATTTCTCTTTTTATCCAGCCTTTTGTCAAAGGAGCTCAAACAGCTCTTTTCACAACAACCTTGTGAGGTAGCTTAGGCTGATACAAGATGACCGGGCCCAAACACCACACCATTTGAACTCTGTAATGGAGGTAGGGGCAGGATTCGGACTCAGGTCTCACCCTGTTTTACGTGCAGTGCTCTAACCACTATGCCATGCTTAGGACTGGAACTACTTTTAGCATTTCTTGGAATTGTTCAAGATTACTTATCTGTGAATTAAAGATTGCCTATTCAACGGAATTAAGTGGTGACAGCGGGCCAGGAAGGTTTCAGATACCTGAGAAGAGTTACAAAGTACCATATAACCATAATTTTCCAATTTGCGCACTTTCAGTTTATGTTGTTTCCCATGCACAAGTTTTGTTTAAAGGTCCTTTGTCTAAAGAAACAATTCTGAAAGCAATTAAACTTCACACTTTAGGAATGCAGAGCCTCTGACTGTTCTTATTGTTAGATTTACAGCGCTTTGTCCCGAAGGAACGGGCTTCTTTTCATCACAAAGTACACAACCTTGGTTATCGAGGCAACCAGAGGTAACCAGGAATCAGCTGTCAGCGGCAGAAGCCGCATCCTTTGCCTTTGCCTTAAGGAGCGAAGGAGGCGGAGCGCCCCCTTGTGGACACGGGACTCCTTTTCAAGCCCGTCCCCGTTTTCAATCCGGGCGGAAGGGGCGGGGTGTCTCTCTGCCATGTCGGACATGGCTTTAGAGGAGCTCTCTGCGATTGCCGCGATTTACTGCGGGGAAGATGAATGCGAAGTGCTGGAGGTGTCAGGTGACTGTTTCTCAATCCTAGCACTGCTGGCTTAGTGACCCATAACCGGGAGTTTTTGCTGAGAACCTCCTAATCACGACAGATGGGAGCAGATTTTAGCACACCTGCTTTCAACAACAACAACAGCACGGGGAGGGAGAAAGACCCGTTTGAAAAGCAGGGGTTCCCATAAAATAAGGAGGGGGAAATTCTGTGCGGCTCTTGGAGGGCAGAGAAGAAGCTATGAAGGCCACAAAAGCAGCAAGCGGTAGATGAATTTCAGCTTTATCAGCCCATCAAAATCAGAATTACTTTTGATTCTCATTAGCGAAGATGACCCCCTAGTTTCCCCTCCCCTTTGAAATTGTTGCGCAGTTTTTTAAATAATAATAATAATAATAATAGGAATGCTTAATCTGTTGTCCAGGTGCCTGCTTCATCAGTTTTTATCTCTACTCTTTCCCTTAAAGAATATCCTTAAGCATCTGCAAAGCGCCATTGTCTGGTTGCTGATTTTTCCTGCTGTTTTGTACGCAGCCATGGATAAAGGGGGAACGGGTTGCATTTGAGAAGGGTGTGAGCATAATTGAGAGAAAACCCTGGCGGAAGCCCAGGAGAGCAGCTGCCTGACAGCGTAGCCAGTACTGAGTTTAATGGATCCATTGGTGGTACTTAGTATATGGTAGCTTCCTATGTTCCAACAAATGGGAGATGCAGGCTAGCTTGAGACTTTCTGGCCCATGGTCATCCTGTGAGTTTCATGGCTGAGTTGGGGTTTGAGCCCTGGTCTCCCAGGTCCAAATTCGATAAGTCAAGCTACTGCATTATGGGGCCTAAGTTCTTGAGTGCATGGTGGTTTTTACTGGCATAAATAAGCACCAATGCAAAAAATAAATAAATCCAGGAGTAGATACACTAGGTAACTCTTGTTCCTGCTTGCTTACGGTTCTTCTTCTTTTAAAGAAAGAATAAAATCAGTGGTTTGATTTCAGCTAGGGCACCTGAAACATTCACGGCCTAGGACCCTTGTACCTACGGGACCGCCTCTCCCGGTATGCCCCACGGAGGACCTTAAGGTCCATAAATAACAACACCCTAGTGGTCCCGCGCCCTAAGGAAGTTAGATTGGCTTCAACCAGAGCCAGGGCCTTTTCAACACTGGCTCCGGCCTGGTGGAACGCTCTGTCTCATGAGACCAGGACCCTGCAGGATCTGATTTCTTTCCGCAGGGCCTGTAAGACAGAGTTGTTCCGCCTGGCCTTTGGCTTGGAGCCAATTTGATTCCCTCCCCGTCTTTCTTTTTCCTTTCTCCTCCTGTGATGAGGCTGCATTTTAATATTTTAATGCTTCAACATTTTAATGTTGTATTTTAATCTTGTTTTTAAGTTGTATTCATTCAACTTGTTTTTATTATTGCTTGTTAGCTGCCCTGAGCCCGCCCTTGGCTGGGAAGGGCGGGGTATAAATAAAAATTATTATTATTATTACAAGAACTTTTTCCCCCTGATTCACTGCCACTTTCCTGAATAGGCCCACAAACAAGATGTAGTGCGAAACAGAGGTTCAAAAACAGGCAAAACTAAGTTTGTTGTTTGTTGTGTGTGTTATGTGTGTGCAGGCGCTGCCCTTTGCCTTCAAGTTATGCAGTGTTTCTAAAAACATTTTAAGCAACGTGCTGAGACATTCCCTTGCTTTTCTCTCCCTCCATATAAGTTCCTATTCCTTCCCATAAATACCCCTTTAAATAACAGACAGCAGCTGCAGAGAAGCAGCAAGTGGTCTGACTGCTCATGTAGGCAACATACATGATCCCAGAACTCCAGTTTTCAGAGCCAAGCGGATGTTGCCTTCCTGTGTGTTTTATTGACAGTGAGTGGCTTGATGGCGATATATTTTGGCTTAGATGTGTGCAGTGAGATGTAAGCTGATGCCCACATCCAAAATAAAATACCCGTGAGACTTCTCTTGCATTCCTTTATCTGTACTTTCTTGTACAAAAGGGTGATTGTCCGGGATCAATCAGGTGTTCAGGAAAGATCAATCGCTTTCTGAGTGAGCCCATTAAAAAATGGCGCTGAGCAGCTAACTAACTTGAGCTGTGTACACACCATACATTTAAAACACCTTCCCCCAAAATCCTGAGAGCTGTAGTCCCCAGCATCTTTAAACTACAACTCCCAGGATTGTTGTGGGTTTTTTTGCCAGGAAGCGGGGAATGTGCTTTACATGTACGGTGGATACACAGCCCTGTGGATGATATTTGAGAGTCCCTTCCCTCTCTGTCATCCTTTTTTCCCTCTCCATCAACTGATACCTCCTTCCTTTTATGTCAAGTGGGGGCGGGGGAAGGAAATCCCAGTTTCCTACTGGATATGTTTTCTCTCAGGCGTTTTTTGAATCTTAGCATCGGGGGAAAAATTAAAAGGATGTAAGTTTTATTTATTTTATTTTTCTCCTCCCAGCTCAAATGTCTGTAAACATGCAAAGTGTTCCCATTCTGTTCCCATCTCTCTTGTAAGCGTTGCCCTTGTACCCTGCTTTTCTGTCAACACCTGCTGGCAAGCTGAACCAAACGTTCTCCGCTGTTGCCAGTCGCCTCCGAAGACCCCAAGGCTGCTTTGCACGAGTTTACTGTCGGACTGCTAAACATCACCAATGCACATTAAATATGCATCTGAGTATGTTCCAAAAACAGTTCAGCTGTTTCCCCCACTGCGGTGTGCTACAAATGTGTGGCAATTTCTCTGTTAAAACTCAGCGTCCCCTGCCCGCCCCCCGCAGCACTGTAGCTTTTCAAACAGCGTTCCAGGGGACGTTGAGTTCTTCTGAAACCTACGAGGCATTTTTGAATGAGATCAGTAATTTTAGGCAGACTTTTCCTTTAAAAAAGAGCTGGCCCATCTTTGCCATCTCTGTCTCCAGTGTGCAGCCATAGGAAAGTGTGTTTGGTGGGTGCATTCTGTGCTGGTCTGTGCTTTGCATGAACTGAGCTTAGAAACCTCTGCAACAGACAGAGGGTTCCTTGGGAGAAAAGCGCATGTGAAGAAAGGGATCCCCGGAGATCAAAAATTTGAAAACCACTGCTCTCAGATAACTGAGCCAGATTGGATGCTCATACCTCAAACGGTCATTGGATCAATCCACACAGAACACTTTCACACATCCCTTCATTCAAACTGTGGTTAAGCCAGGAATCTCCTGATTAACCATAGTTTCCCATTTCATCCAGTTTGAGAAACTATGGTTAACCAGAAACTGGTTTGTTTACATACACCAAGAAGTGGCTGCACATGTCCTCTAAAGAACTTGTTCATATTTTGACTTAATAAGCCACTACATCACCATCTGAATGTGGCCCATTGTGACAGTTTATTTTTCCTTGCTTCTGCATTACATGCATACCTAAAAGTTACCCTAAATAATTAATCCCAGACTCTCTTATAATTAATGATAGCAAATCCAGCTTGGCTTCTTTTTTCTCCTTGTCAGATTTTTGTTATAAAAAAGTTACACATCTTTACTGTTTCTAACTTTTGACATAGCAGAGAGTCTAATGGGTGTCAATTTTCTGTCACATTTTTTTTATATATCGTATATATATATATAACAAATTGTGATGAGTAAAGGAATGACACTAGCCAGAATTTGCTTGACTTGCTAAAGGGAATAGAAGAAACTGGAGATTTTTGTTCTGTTTTCCAAGAGTAAGTTCTCCAGGTTTAAAGAGGGGATGGGGAGCTGCCTTTGGCTGGTGGGCTAGATTATTATCTCTCCTTATCTCCTTATCTCTCCTTGTCAGCCATTTTGACAGGTGATCTGGGCCACAGTGTAGCCATCTCTGGTCAAAGAACAGGAGAAGCTTGCTGTCTTTCTCAAAACGATTGTCATAGGCTGCAAACAAATGCACATTTGATTTATTAACACATTAATCAGCGAAGGTTTTGTTAATCAGGTGTCAAACCCTATCTTTGGTCTGGTAAGAATATATATTTTTAAAACTCTATAAATAACTGTCAAAAGAGGATTCTAAAAATTAGAAGATAATATGTTTTGGGAATGCAGGCAAGACATTTTATTTCCAGAATCAAGCTGGAGATCTTTTGTGCCTCCCAGTTCTGCAAAATGTTCCAGTATGAGATATGTATCAGTTTTGCAAAACAAAACTAGTTTTGCTGCTGTGGATCCCAGGAGTGTCTTTGTAGCATCCAAATTAGATTGAATAATTTATGAAAATGCTTGCTGTTAAAATACAAATCGGCTGAAATGTTATTTACCCATGTTTAGGGTTGGAAAAAATCCCATATGCCTGATCACTGAGGCACTAGGCCTGGGCGATATATCAATATATCTCCCAGGGCCGGTATGAGGAGCGGCCCGCGATGTCGGCTTCACTCAGCGGTATATCACTGGTGAAACCGCCACCGCTCCTGAGTCCCTCTGCTAGTGACTTTCTAAAGTGAGTGCTGCACAAGCATCTAATAATTGTTTGCTAACAGGCATATCTTTCTATCTAGGTTTTCTCTGACTCTTAAGATTGGACCCTGCTATTGCTCGATTGTTTGCTTTTATCTCCATTTTGTATTTTGCACACTGCCTAGATGTTTCAAATATATTCAGCAGTTTGGAAATGCTAATCAACTGAAAACAAATTATGCCCGTTATTAGAGATGGTTGCGTTAAAATCAAGGGACGTGAATGGGTCAGAGTAGAGATTTCTTGAGGTTTGGTGGGTATGGGGTGTTCTCCCTCCACTCGGTCTGAGTTTTCTGAAGCTTAGGAGTGACCCGCTCAACATGCAGCAGGCGTTTTATTGAAAATGATGTGTGAATGAATTTAAATCAGCTAATTAACAAAGGTCTGCTTTACTTTTTCTTGTCTGGCCTCAAAGATTAGTGTTGCCGATAGACCGACATAATTTACTTGTTAATCCACTCTCTCGTCCTCCTCCACGGTTTGCTCAGCTATCTTGCCATAAAACATATATTTGTTCATCAAAATTTGGATTTCTGCAGGTAACGCTC